TATATATATATATATATATATATATATATATATGTATACATATATATATATTATATATAAATATATTTGTCGATGTTTTGGAAAGATCATTTGTCGCTAAAAAATATGCTAAAAATGAATTATTATTATTGTGCTTCTCTGTCGGTCGGCGTATTCCGCACGATTAGTCAAAATTAGTAAAGCAACTTACTCCCTCTCAATAGTTAAACAATTCAGATTGAAATAATGGTCGAGTCTCACAAAAATTAGAAATTATTTCTTTAACAATCTTCTTCCCATATTGAAATTTTACAAAAACAACTTGGAGATAAATATTTTCTATATTTTATTGTCTTTCTCTTATTCTTTTTAAATTTAAAAATTTTTTTTTTTTTTTTTAATGATTTTATTCAAATCATTGGTTTGAACATTTGTAAATAATATAAATTAGTATTTATTTAATACTATAGGATACGCACAATTTTGAACATTCGTTTTATTTATTTATTCTTATTTTTAAATTCATGAAGTATTTATTATTATTATATTCTCTAACTCTCATTATAATTATTATTAATAATAATTAATATAAGTTTGTTTTCAGAGACACGACCTTATCTTTTCAAGTTGATCTTGTATTTTTTTTTTTTTTGCTGCGTTTCTTTCACAAGGCAAGAACTTTTCGCATTTTTACAATTCTTATGTCTTTAATAATAATAATAATAATAATAATAATAATAATAAAAAAAACTAAAAGAAAAAAGGAAATGTATCTGCATTCTCATCTTATGACCGGAATAAAGGAAAGAAAAATCTTAATTATGTTAACCATTTTTGCGAAAGAAAAGCAGCAATTTATTATTATTATTATTATCGTTATTATTATTATTATTATTATTATTATTACTATTATTATTATTATTATTATTATTATTATTATTATTATTACTAGGAGGCATTATAGTTATTATTGTTATTATCATCTAACTTCCAGAGCATTTATAAAAAATAAAAATGATCTAATGCTCAATTAAAAATGAATAATAATAATAATAATAATCGTCGGCAGGTTCGACGATAAAAAATCAATTTGCTTCTCGATATACGGTATATACATATATACATATACATACATATATATATATATATATATATATATATATATATATATATATATATATTCTATATTTTGCTTTGAACTCTTTCAAAAATCCCTTTTTAGTATGTAATAATTGAAAAAAAAAAATGATTAGAAACATTGCATATAATCTAATCTTACATAGTAAAATCGATCAACGTTTGTAATAATACAATAATGTCATTTTGTCAAGTAAAATTGCATATTGACAAATAATCATTTTTTCATCCAAATTTATCGTAAGTTTATTTATTTATCGTTGGCAATGTTATTTTTTGTTGTTGTTGTCTGTCAATCTTATTTTAACTTGTTAAGTGTTAAGTGTTTTGAAGGACTCGACTACTAATTGCAAAGTTAAATCTAACTTTGCGTTTGTTAATTAGAAAGCAATTTGTTTTTTTGGTAAGAAATGTCTTAACGGGGAAAGAGATAATCAACAAAAAAAAACGAAATTTCGTTAGCCAAGTTTTATTGAGTAAATGAAACTTTTAATGAGAGAGTACAACAACGAAGTACACGTAGGAAGACAACAAGTGTCGTGTTGGATTGTGAAATTGTTATAATCAAGTTTTAACTTCTTTTCATCAGATAAATCAAATTTATTATCTATTTATTTTTTCAATAGTTTATAATATATTTTACCAAACAAAAAAATAGAATTTGTTATAAATTATATATATATATATATATATATATATATATATTCATTTTCAACGTTCTATATTTTAAAAGTTATCATTTGAATATTAAGTTATTCTATAATAACGATACGTTTTAATTGTTAATAATCTATTATTATTATTATTATTATTATTATTATTATTATTATTATTATTATTATTATTATTATTATTATAAAATAAAGAAAAAAAGGGCTGAATAAACGAAGAAATATAATTACACGTATTATAATATTACATGTATACTCTCTCGTGCTTCTGCATATCCGTTGACATATCAAATGTAACAATACTTACAACACACACTGATCGATTTGATTTGTTTAGTTGTATGTAATTTTAGTTTTTCTTTTTTTTTTTTTTGGTTAATCAAATTTTCTTTATCTTTAGATAAGAAACAGAAGAGGCCTATGCAATAATCGATTTAAATATAATTAAAGATAAAGAAAAAGTATTTAAAGATAAAAATAAAAGAAAGTAAAAGAAAAGACAACATATGATTTCTTTTTCAAATTTTAAATTACGCGGGTTTTTGCATGAAATCAAAACAAAGACTTAAACTGTTTACCGTCGTATTCATGAAATTTTATTTATTTTTTTTTATTTTTCCTTTTTTTTTCTCTACTTTACTCGCAAATAGAAATATGATGAGTTTAATTAACAACGTTAAAATGTATAAAATAATACATACACTCACATCCATACACACATAAACAACAACACACACGTAATGTATATTTGTTTACAACTTATCTTCCAAGCTAAGAGAAATAAGAAGAAAATGAAAGAAACAAACAAACAAAAAAAAAACAATTTATTATAATTAAACGTTAAAATGAAGAAAGAAAGAAAGTAGGACGAAATGTGATCGTGCGCACGCGGTGACAAAGGAATATTTTTTTATTTTACAGTTGTTACGAACTTACTGAAATAATCGAATTTCTCTTTAACACAATTAATTCAAATGAATATTTACAGCAAAATGTGTACGATATATATATATATATATATATATATATATATATATATATATATATCTATATCTATCTCGTATTTTATTTCATTCAAATCATTGTGATATTATTATAAATACATAAATATTCCTATGCCACTTGAATTATCTTATTTGTAAGAATAATCAATAATAATAATAATAATAATAATAATAATAATAATAATAATAATAATAAACCAAAAAGAAAAAGAAAAAGAAAAAAAAAAGAAAAAGTGATTGTGAACAATTTCGTTACTGTATTCTATTATATATAAAATAATATTTGCTATAGAAATATCGTAAGAAAGAAAGAGAGAAATAGAGAGAGAAGAAAGGGAATTGTTATATTGTTTGTCTTTTTTTATCCAAGAAAAACAAAAACAAAAAAAGAAAAGGGAAAGAAAAGCTAGAAAAAAAAACAAAATAACTTCCATGTGTTTGTCCAATGTATTGTTTGTTTGTTAAAGAAGAGAAGCAACAAAAAAAAAAAAAAACCAAAAACCCATAAAATATAATGACAAAATATAATGATATGGAAAAAGAACGGGGAAAAGAAAAGAAGAATAAAATAAGCAAAATAAGATTGAAACATTGTAAGGGGGATGTACAATTGTTATAATTATGTTTTTTTGGGGGGGGGGGTGAGAGCAATCGAGGGGGAGAATAACCGATTTATCTTCAAATTAGATACATACGAGCGAGAATGAAGAGATTTTTTCCATGTAATACACGCGCACGCGCGCATCCACATACATAACTGCGTTGTTTAATATTGATAAGGATTAAAAATAAAATCGATTATTCAGGAAATTCATTAATCGACTATTATTATGTTTTCAAAATTCCTAAACACCTTAATTAGTTGTACGAAATAAAAACAAAAATAAATCGTAAGAGAACGAGTGATATAATAAATACAATATTTATCTTCATTCATTAATTTAATCTAATTAAACAAATTAAGAAGTGAATTAACTTTGTGTGTGTTAAGTTTCAAAGTAAAACTATTATTATATTAGTTGAATGATATTTTGCTTTTGAGCATGCTTCCAGAACAACGCGTGAAAGTTAAACAAATGTCAAGGCTCTTTTTAATACTTCAGGTATATAAAAGTTCTCGAAGTTCGAAGAAAATTTTAATATTGCGTAGTTTCTATGGTATCTTACGAAATTCATATTATATGTTTTTTTTTTTTTTTCTTTGTAAATCAGTACTATAAATCTTTTGCTCTTCCTACCTAATTTTTACCTAATACTTCTTATTTCGTTGCTCCTACGATACCATCTTTATTTTCATTTGATTTTACAAACTTTTAAGTTTACCAGAAAGTTCTGTCAACTCTGACAAATACCGGTTCAATTTATAATAAATATAAATATTATAATATTAATATAAATACCTAAATAAATTACTATTACTAACTACTACTAAACTACTATTACTACTACTAAATTACTATTACTAAACTATTATATACCTAATAAAATAAATTATTATACCTAATATAAATTAGATATAACATAAAAATATTATATTATTATAATTATTAAATTATTAAATATTATATTATTATATTATACCTAATATATTTTTTTTTTGTATATTAGATATAAAATATTAACAAATATGTGTAAAAATATGAGATAAAAATATTTCGAAATATTTCGATAGTTTTAGCGATTCCATTGGATAGATGAATTGATTGTGTAATCAGGAAATTATAAAAATGTTCGAACATACATAGAATGAAATAGTATCGACGAAAGAAAAAAATAAAACGAGATGAGGAATCTCGTTCTCTCTCTCTCCTGTTTACTTTCGAGGACCGGTAAAGATGATAAAAGGCCGAGAAGAAGACGAGAGAATTCATAGTCGTTCTTTGGTAATCGTTAAGGAAAGTTCGCGTGTTTCGAAGAAGCTCCAATGGCCGCCACGTATCATCCGATCATCCATTTGCTCATCGCCTACGGCTTTTTTGCCGTCGCATTATGTGAGTACATTTTATTGCGGCGTATTCGAGAAAGTGAAAGATTCATGCGCGATAAATCACGAAGGATCTATCGAAAGATCTAAAACGTTTTAGCTATAAAACGTACAACTAATAGGGATGAACTATCGCTTTAGTATTTCAATGACTTCATTATCATTTTTTTTTTTTTATACCTTTTCATATTAATTATATTTTAATTTAGTTTATTTCTTATAATGAAAGATTATTACAACGAATAAAATATAAGTAAAAAAGTTACATTTGATCAAATTTATTAATCTCTCCGCGTAAAATTTTGATGAAATAGTTAAAAAAAAAATGTATTCACTTGTTATGTAAAAACAAATATGATGGGGGGGATAATGATGAAAATGTTTTAAATAAACGAAACAATTTTTACCATGTGATGAAGCCTGCCTGAAGATTTCACCGGATAAAATCTCCCCTTTGACATTTCATAATATCTTTGAAAAAGCAAGAATAAGGTGAGATATTGCGTAAAGGATATGCATGTAATGCTAATGAATGCAAACTTCTCGCGGAGGTCAAGCGTAATGCGAACTATCGAAATTCTTTGAACGTACATATGAAGGTCGGTCGTGCATAAAACGTACACACACACCTGAATATAATACGTTAATCTATTACTCGAAGAAGATCGGTATCACATTTGTAATAAATCTTGCGACATATATATATATATATATATATATATATAGGTAGGCTTCATCTTACCCACAACGTATGGAGATACATTAAATGTACAATATAATATAAAACGATCAATCGTATTTTCCTTTTGAAATTTCAAGAAACTTCGACAAAATATAATTTTCCCTTTCTTGCATTTTTTTGATTTATTTGTTTGTTGTTACGCAGGTGCCAATCAGTATCAGTCATATTCAAAAACTCAACAATCAAATCGTCTTGTACCACTGTCAACTAGACAAGTTTCACAAGGATCGTGCCCAGAAAAGAACGGACGTTTCCCGGTTCAATCTCAATGCGACGCATACATCGAATGTATCGATGGTGTTGCAGAAGAGAAACTTTGCCCGGAAGGCTTAGTCTTCAATCCCGATGCACGATTCAATTATCCTTGTGGATATCCCATCGACGTTGATTGCGAAAGCAGACCAAACAGACGTGAGTATTATTATTATATATATATACCTAAAAATTATATTATAATATTATAATCATTATATCTCGTATATTGATCTAATATTATTTAATTAAATAAATTAATAAATTAAAGATATACTATATATATATATATATAAAATAAAATATAATAATATAGAACCAGCACAACCAACCGAGGATTGTCCACATCAATATGGATATTTCAAAGTTGGTGATCACACTAATTGTGGACAATTTATGAATTGTGCCGATGGTAGAGGATACATTTTCGATTGTCCTGAAGGATTAGCTTTTAATCCAGAATCATATCGATGCGATTGGCCTGATCAAGTACCAGATTGCGATGCTGAAGGTCGGTGAAAATTTACAGTATATTTTATTTCGATATTTCTACGTTATATAACTCGTGAGATCAATGTGTTTGATTATTATTCTTTGATAATTTTTTTTATAGCTTTCCTTGGTTTTCGATGTCCCGAAGTTAAAGAAAATTCATTTTTGAGTGGTGAAATAAGATTTTATCGTAGTACTCACGATTGTCAGCATTATTATATATGTGTTAATGGCCGTCCACGTTTGTTAAACTGCGGAGAAGGAAATGCATTTAATGAACTTATTGATGCCTGTGATGCTGCAGAAAATGTTACCGGATGGTTAGTAATAATTAATACTTTTAACTTATTGATTTAGTATCTTTTAACGATTTAACTCTGTTACTTTGATGTTATATTATTTATTATTTCAATTGCAGCGCCCCAGAAGCCACTAATTTAATTTCACCTAATATCCAACCAACAAGATTGTTCTGAAACTGACAATTAATTTCATTCTCTATTGAACAGACTGTATCAGAATGTGAACATTATTAAATGTTCAATTTAATGTACAATACTAAAAGAACAAAAAAATAATTCATAGATAATATGTAGATAAGATTGAAGATATCTTAATGTTAATGAAAATACGTACTATTGCAACATAATAATGTTAATTAATATTTATTTTTAATCGATATAGATATATTTTTCTAGATTTATATACTTAAATTTATCGAATTCAATCATTCATTCATATTCGTATTATGAAAATATATAATACAGGAAATGATTATAGTTAATAATTATGTAAAAATAGATACGATGCTTTATACCAAATATCGTATCATTAACATTTCACAATTTTGTACTATTTGAATAAAAAAAAAAAACACATAAATTAGTTAAATAAATTTTTGTATATTTATAAATAGTCATTTATTGATAATTTACATTGTATGCTCTGACAGCGACTCGTTTCTCTTGATATTAATATATTAATCTTTTCACAGATTAAATTATATTCTACTATACTTTGAAATAATAAACTTATTGACATGTTTTTTTTCTTTGCGCTATCTACAATTAAATAATTTGACGGAATGCATTAGTGCAATATTAATTTGAATGAAAAGCACAAATGATTAAAAATTGTATTATCGTATTTGGCTTGTCTTATGCTTTTGTTTTTTCTCTTTTTGTTTTTTTTTTATATTATTTGTAATTTTATAATAATATTATGAAATATTCATCTCGGGTCAAGTTTCATTTGTATTATTGAAATTTGTGATGTCAATCGTTAATTACTTAAATCCACAGATGAGAAAAAATGAAATCTGACTCGTGTGTTTATTTCACATTCTCATTCTCTGCGTTGTAAAATATTATTTAATACTTGAGAAGAATTTTCTTTCATTTTAATATCATCTTCTTCGTCGGAAGTAAAATCTGTAGTTAATAAATTAATTAAGGAACTAGATTTTTGCGTTAATAATGGTAAATTAGCATCGATCCCATCTTCCTTTTTAGCATTGTTACTCGTTATTAAATTATCTTTTAACTCTAAACTTTCAATCACTTTACTTCTATTCAATAATACTTTTTGAATAACGTGAAGTATTATTCCACCGAGGCACAATAATAAACCTACGAAATTTAGGCCGCTTATATGATCACCTTTCCATACAAAGGCTAATATCAATATGCAAATTTCCTGCAATGTAAAAAAAAAACAATGTCAATAAATAATCAAAATGATGAAAGTTCAATGAAATATTTCAAACATACTTTAAATATTCCGATAACAGAAAGTGTTAGACTAGAAGTGTACGTGACAAGTAAAAATTCTGTTATTTCCATAACAAATGCTAAAATAGCTCCAGAATTGACTGCAGCTACAGTTACCATAATTGGTTCATAATCGTTCCAATTAATATTCTTAAGACTACTGTACATTTCTGGACCTAAAATGAAATTCATAATGAAACATTTACTATTCTACTTAGTAGATTCAAATTAGTATTAAATTATTAACAATAGTAAAAAAAAAAATACATATAGCTCGTAATCTTGAGAATATATTTTTGTCATTACCCTCAAACCATAATGAGATAGGTATTATAGGTAACAACATCCATGGTTGCATATAATAAATCATATCAATTGGATTTCTAAGACCCAATTTAGATCTTTGCATTATGACTTGAGCCATGGTCCATCTGAGGCCGCTTGAAAACGATGCCAAAAGACATAACGTAAAACCGAGCACGTGAAATTGGGTAGATTTATAAGTAAACATGAATAAACCTCCTGATATTGCTGCTACTATAGCAATTAGAGACCACGACTGAAACAAATGCACTAATAATTTGTTTTACTCTACCATTTATGTTAATTAAAAAAAATTAATTTTAATATACTCTACATTTAAGAGTCATTTTATTAACAACATATTATAAGGATTAACAATTTTTTACCTTTTTCTCAAGTTTAAATATAAGAGAAAATCCAAGTATAAAAACAATGGTACTGGATTTTGTCATCGTATATCTACAATTTTGTACATTTAATTAGAAAAATATATTTGTTAGATTTTCAAAGATTCATTCAAAATTTATACTCACAAAGATATGGTAATTAATGCGATTGACCAATTTGACAAAGCAACGTCAAATCCACTAGCTATGCCTGGTGGTGCTAGGGAACATATTATATTTTGCCAAGTAAGTTTCACATGATATTGCGGTCCTTTACAGCATAATCTTATGCAACGTATTAACGCAGACAGTAGAAATTTGACAACCAAATGACAGATTACTGCTGCCAGAGGAAAATTGAAGCCCTAAAGTTATCATCATTCAAAGAAATAAAAAAAAAAATAAAAAAATAATTAATCATTATTTTCTTGTTTCTTCTTCAAACATTTATGATGCATTTAGGCAATGTAATCATTTAAAAGAAAAATATTACTTACATATGACTTGAATAACCATTTTTGATAAAAAGTAAGTCCTATGGATAAAACGAAATAAATAGAAATGATTAAAGTTGTTTGTAAGGCTCCTGTGCAAGGTTCCTTTTTAGGTAAAGTTGGATAATCTTGTGTACTTTGTGATGATAAGTAATACGAAATATCATCCTTCTTAACAATTTGATATTTAATACTCGGCCTGGACATTTCTTAAAATCTGTTACAACCTAAAAAAAAAAGTATAGCATTTATATGCGAGACAATTAAAATTAATCATTCATTTTTTTTAATTATTAAAGATTTAATATACTGACTGACCTTTTATTTATTTGACTAAATACTGAATTGGTTATCTTTCCTCTCTCTCTCTCTTGTCACTTTTATGTTACCCCATAAATAATTGAAAGATACATAATATCATATGTATGCGTCAAACTGGTTTCAATTTGTTTGAATAAATTTCTAATTTCTTATTTCCATGCTGTAAAAAAAAAAAAAAAGAAAAGATCAGATTTCAATTAAAAAATACAAATAAGCCAAAAAAATATATATTTATTATTATTATTATTATCCAACAATTAATTAAAATAATAAATACAGTTAAGCAAAAAAAAAAATATGTCTTAATATTAAATATGAAAAAAAAAAAAGAAAGAAAGAAAACTCCAATGAAATTATATAAATTATTTTAATAATTATTTCAAAAGCACGATAATACATAAATACCTGATATTTGTAAATAATTACACTTATGTATTTATTTAATTACCTTGACTAAATATAGTAAAATGTACGCGAAAACATATAGAATGAATTGTTCTGTTATCAAATTGTAGACCGCGCAAGATATCTCATGCCTTATCACGTTTAATATCCGACGACGATAATGTCCATATGTTGTTTTAGTTGTGCTTTATTTATCCTGAAAGTAAAGAAAAACATATGTATGTTAAAAGAATGAGACAAAATAATTAGACATTAGATAATAATAAAAAAAAAAAATTAAAATATAAAAATAAAAGAAAATAATGTATAATTTTATAAATTCATTCAAAATGAAACACGTTCACTCATCGATAAAAAAAAGAAACACCGAATCTATGTTTCAAAATATGAATTAATCAAGTTGACATAAAAAAAAAATACTACCTTTTTTTTCTACAATGACAGGGAATACAAATTGAACAAAGCGTCATAATATATATAAAGAGTTTTAAGGTAAGTATTGTTACCTCAGTGCCCTCTTCAATTCATACCTGATATCGTTCAAATTAAGCCCGCGAATTCTAATAAGACATTCAAAATTCATAATCTTCGTTAAATCAAATAATTTGTTAAATATTTTTATTACCGGGATATAGTTATGATTTATACATATTAACTTGAATGCAACAATAATGATAATATTATATCATCATTGTAAATTTGATACCTCGATGTCTTTTTACTTATTTCATGTTAATTATATTTATTAAAATACTTTGTATTATTCTAATGAAAGATTTAATATTTCTTAACGTCACATCCTGAATTCTGTCCTGGATATTGTTGTGGATAACGAGATCTAACGAATTGTCCAGGTGGACAAATTGGCCATGGTTTTACGAGACACTGTGGTTGACCTTGACATTGAGTTAACGGACACTCGTCCTGAAGTCCATTTCTATGCAAGCACATACATTTTGAATATAAAACTCCACCACGCATTTCAGGAAACTTCAAATCTGTTAGCTTCTGAGAAATCAATTTTTCATTGTATTTAAATATAAATGACAATTGTATTAATGTTATTAATGAAAAATACTTGCTGGTTTTTTTCTATAAATTGATTTTTTTCTGTAATCGCTTTTTAAACAACTAACTGTACGTTTAATTTGTTTTTTCTTATAAGGACCTTGACTTTTATCCTTAATAATTACTTCTTCAAGAGGTATCATCATGTATAATGGCGGTTCTTCTGCTTTTTGCTTTAATAATTGCATTTTGTGCTTGCTATATGATCAATATATATATATATTGAAATACTTTGAAAAACTTTGAAGACAAATAATGATTACATTTATATATGTAGGTAGAAAATAATATCGATATAAGTTATAACAAACTAACCAACCATTCTAAGGCTTTTACTGCAGCTTTTAAACCGCAAATAACATCGGTAGCATCAATAGTTTTTATTTCAGACATACTGATAATTTTCTTTTTAAATTAAACGAATTACAAATTTTATTCATTTTCTACTCCATAATTTTGTAATAAATTTAAATGTTGGTTTGGCCGAAATTTGGTCGAATTGAAAGAAGATGTTTTGTTTGATGTAAATAAAAAAAGCTAACTAAGTTTTTTTGTTGTTTTGTCTCTTAGAATATCAATTGTTATGGGATTATTAATAATATTTGTATCCATTTGAATACAATTTGCGGCGACATTTTATTAAGACAAAACATTATACATTGTGTAAATAATAATTATCATATATATAAAATACGAATGGAAAAAGAAATCATTTAATTTCATTTTCATATTTATGAAACTAATTAAAAGGCAAATGTTCTTCTAATTATAGAATGCATAATAATATTGCAATAATTTACTTATAAACTATAGTATAATATGTAAATAGCATCTTCTATCATTTTGACTGACTTATAAAAAAAAAAAATATAAGAAGCTATAGTGATATACAGGGTTACAGCTCTGTATAAGTCGCTATATTAATACAGTCATTTTAAATGATGGAACTTTCAAGTAGTATAATCATTATTTCATCAAAGTTAACCAAAAGCATGCTACAAACACCGTTTATATTTATATTATCTCGTCGTATTTTTTATAAGTTTTCTATACATACATAATTACTAGATAATACATGCAATAATTATAAATATATATATATATATATACAAAATATTATCGAAATGTTTGTAAAATATAACTTTAACAAATTTGGACGTTAATATAAATATGATCTCAGACGCGTTTAATTAATTAAAAACTTAAATCATGTTATAAAATGTAGCAATATTTATGGCACGGTATATATATATAGCATGGGATCTCATAAACGATCTCATATTCGATCAATTTTTATTTTCTAACTACACATTAGCATATAGATCAAATTGATTATATAAGTTAGCATTGTGTACGTTTCATAAATTTGATATTAAAAATGTTTTCATAATTAAGGAATAGGAGGCACGACTAATATTTAACGCTTACATTTAACGGCGACCTAATAATTTTTCAATAAAATCAAAATAATTCGTACACGTTAATTAGTATTAAATATTAACTCGAGTGAAATTGAATAATTTCATTTATATAATTGAATAGATAAGAAAAGCAAGAAATACGAATATAATGTCTCCTTTTGTACTCTCTCTCTCTCTCTCTCTCTCTCTTTCTTTCTTTCTTTCTGTCCCTCTCTCTTTCTCTTTCTCTCTCTCTCTCTCTCTATATATATATATTTATATGTATTGACTTTAATATATACTATTTTTACATAGATTTTATTGAAATTATTTTGGCTGCACGACTAGAAAAATTACCGATATGTTCATGCAACTATTAATTTAGAAATGCATATTATTTTTGCTTGCGATTATACGTATTTAATTAAATGCATATTGTTAAACACAGATGTTCACATTATCATATAAAATAACACTAACGCATTAACGAAATATCAATAAATTGTGCGAACTGTTATATAAGAGAATACAAGTAATTGTTTACTACATCGTTTAAGATACTAATGTTAGATAATTTATTATTTGAAAATAATAAAATTAATATATCGATAAAATTAAATATTAAGTATGAGTCTATATATAATGCCACATATATATATATATAAAACATCGTATATGTAATATCAGTTCTCAATTTCTAATCCTTCGTATGAAATATTTATATTTACCGTACTATTACAATAAAAACTAAATAATATAACCACAGAATCCGTATTTTGGCAGTTCTAACTCAATATTTATTAAAAGTGTTTATATACTCTTATTTATTGCTTAATGCATAATATCATTAATGAGACACACACATTTTAATTTGATATTAATCTCTGTAACTTATTTCAATATAATCTTAAATTGTGTTAAATAATAAAAAAAAAATAGAAAGTTAAAATTTACCAATAATAATTCTATAACGAAACTACAAAAGTAAAACTAATGATATACATAATTAATCATATCTATTATATGCCAAAATTCGGTTTCTTCTAATATCCTCATTTACAAAATATCACAGATAATTGTAGTAGAAAATAAAATATACTAAAAAAACAAAAACAAAAAAAAAAAAGAGGAAAAGTTAAATTCCATACTTTTTAAACAGATCTCATAGTTGTCCAGAAAAGAAACGTTCAAACATTGAAGAATTGTATTAAAGAATTTCGATTACTTGGTAAACAAAAAAAGAAATATGTTTATATAGACATGGATTCGAATTATTTATCAGAAAATAAAGAATTTTAGAACCATGTTTATACAGACATTTGATCAAAAACATTCAAACACGATCGTTAAATTCGTTGATTTTATCTGCAACATCCTGTATATATCAAATCAATTTGTTTTTTTTTTCTTTTCTCTAAACTCGGCAGTCTTTGGTGTTTACAAATTGAAATAGTTGGCAAATATAATTATACTGTATCATTATATTACATACGTAGGAACAACGGCTACGTAAGCCACAAATCCAGGATTTGAGAAACATTGTCTCACAAGCAACATTTTATTTCGACTATCTTTCTTTCAACAAATTTTGCTATAGAATTATATTTCCAAGTAAGTATTGGATTATTATTTTTTGTTAATATCATTATATTACTGCTCAGTATACAAAAACGCGTTAACGCAATTATTTAGGTTAAAAAAAAAAAAAATAAATAAAAAGCTTTTAAAACGTTACAACGCTGCGAAGAAAAATAATCAAATTACGTGGGAGAATAATAAAATAGATAGAAAGATGATTACTATGTTATTAGATGAAAGTTTCAAATTTGTTGTTGTTATTGTTGTTTTATCTTTCATTCGTGTCTATCACTCATCCATATGTTAATATTGTTATAGACTTAATGGGCACATAGGCTAGGCAAAATATTAGACAAAATATTTGACAAAATATTAGGCAAAAAAGATATTTCTTCAATAATTTTTCTTTCTATCAAGATCAAAGACTCATTATACTTTATAATCAACGTTCAATTGATTGAGATAACGTTCAATTTGACATTGCCAATTATTAATTCGATAATTATCAGTATTTCTGAAATGTAATATTTAAACTAATATAAAAATCATTGTCATGTAATCAATTATTTCGTGAAGAAAAATGATAATATTACTGATAGAAGAGTGAACATCATTATAATGTCTTTTCCAATCGTATATATAAATCAATTATTTTAATAGATATTACTTGAAGATTTCATTTTTAGCCTACTATTACCCTTTCGTAAGTATCACATTCATGTGGAAGAGATTAAAACTATTAACAATTTTTGTTCAATTTATATATGTTGAAGGAATATCTACAATAGACAAATGCCTTTATCCTGCATAGAAAAATAGTAATCTAAATACGAAGTTAAAAAAAAAAAAAAAAAAAAAAAAAAAGCTTAAAAAAGCACGTTGATTTTGAAATAAAATGATAAATGAAATAATTTGAATTGATGAGACATTTGTATTTTAGTAATAAGAAAATTCTATAAGAATATGCAGAGAATATGTTTCTTACTTATGCATTTTGTATAAGAGATATTAAATGAGTATAATTGAACATATTGGATTACGAATTGAGAACCACTTTGAAATGCTATATTAAGAGATATACGCAGGATACTAATATATCTGCTACTTTAAAGGTAATTTCTAATTATAAAGCACCGTTAAAATATCTTTAACGTGGTTCTATCGACGAAAAATATTTCCATAGGTATTGTATTATTGCAGGAATGTAAAAATATGGAAACTGAATGAAAAAATCTGTACACTTGCAGTTTAAAGAGCACCATGGCTTCAGTCTATGTAGACAGTCCTTAGAACTTTCAACACATCCCATTTTATACGCCAGTGCAATGGGAATATTGCTGAACAATAACACCTATAATTTTATCACACGAAGATGATTTAAAGTTAGATAATTACGATATATTACATTTATGAATATGATAATGCTAACTGTATTAAATACGCTCAGCAAAGTAAATGACCAGGCAGTTAATATTTGATCTCGAGCCCATTGTCATCTGGGAGTAGTTTCGGTATGCCTCATTTTATCAAATTGGCGTCGATAATGGGCACGGCCTCTACCTCGGTTACGATGTCCGTGATTATTATGTCCGTGATTATTATGTCCATGATTATTATGTCCGTGATGATTGTGATGGAATTGTCGTGGTTGGTTTTGCGTATTGTTCGAAGATTGCTATTAAAAAGAGATCAAGTATCTAATGTTTAGAATGAAATTCGACGTTAAGGAATAATGATAAAAAATGAACTGATTTACCACTTGAGTGACAGATTGAATAGATTGATTAGCATATGTGTTTAAACTAGTGCTAGGTGGATTGAATCTCTCAGTGGAAACAGCAGTATCGTCTTCAGTTCTTAGTAACATTTTTTCCCCTTCAGCTTCTAAATCAATGATACCACCCCTTTGTTGTTGTCTCAAGTATAACGCTGCCATTTGCTTTTGTAGCTCTTTTAATTCAGCGGTAACTGAAAAGTCTGTAGCTGCTTCTACGTCTATAGGAGGTGGAGCTGACCATAAACTTTGCAGGTCGCAATGTATAGATTCTCGACAAACAGGACAAATAGCCTAAACAAAAAGTATCGATGTTCGCAAGCTCCTTAAAAAGTATTATATGAAAACGTAGATGAAATGTTACAATCTGAAATAATGATATACCTGAAATTTGTTAGTAGTATCTTGTTGCCATTGCGGTAATTTCTCTTGTTCTTCTCTGTAATAACGTTCAGCTGCTGCAACATGTGCCGCTAAGCAATGAGAATGAAAGTAATGATAGCACTCTGTTTTTGTAAATTTGTCGCCTTCTCTAAAGCCATATAAGCAAACTGCACATTGATCTGTAGGTAAGTTGCTTCTCGTAAGATGTTCCCTAATCAACTGGTATTATTATACAAATATTAGTTAAACGATTAACATAATCATTCCTATAAGGTATAAGAAGAGTTTACGATGAAACATTTATGTTATACCTCGATTAACTCAAACATTACTGGTTGTCCAATAAAATCTTTACATTTAGCTTCGGCATCAGATTGCATTAACCTTACTGTATCTTCGTCTAATCCTCTTGGATTTCTTAAGCTAATATTTGGAGATACATCTGGATAGCCATAAGGTAATTGTACGACAAGGGTAACGCAGACATATTGCGATTGTGAATCTTCTCCAGTCGAGGGGAATAATATAGTTTCAATATACTCTGGCTCTCCTCTATAAATACAATCATTTATGATGATAATGATATAATGAAATATTATTAAACCTTATATGCTGTTATTGAAATTGTCTCTTGCAATTGAAAGGATAATAGATCTTAGGTTTCTTTTTTTGTTAAATAAATTGAATATTTCATATAGAAAAAAAAAAAAAATTAACATTTTACATAATAACAGTAAATACGAATTAAATCTTACCTGTCATTTTCTTTTATGCTCAGTTCGTCGTCTAATAAAATAGCTTTTAAGGCTTCGATTTCATCAGCCACTCTAAAAGAAGAAACGATCAAGCATAGTACGATATTATCTACTTTTTAATAAATTCAATATTATATTATTACCTTTCATCTACCATTGAATCTGACATTCTCCTGAAAACAAATATTTCTCCCTCGTTTTCTTTACTCTTCTTTTAACTATTTCGGGCACCTTACAAACGTCAATCGGCATATCAATATTAGCAACTTAAAATTCTACTTCTATTGCACGACTATTACCAACTAGATTGAAGAAAAAAGAAATTTGCATGCTCTTATTAATTCGTTCCTTTTTTTTTTTTTGGAAAAATACATTAACACGCGTGAATATATTCGATCGTTATTTATTACAACTTAAGCCGACTATGTAATTAAATTCATTTTAATTGGAATCTAAGAAATTTAAATAAAAGGAAAACCTTCAGCCGGATTTCTAATAGAACACTCGAATTGCATTACATTCCATCAATGTTATTTATATAATTATTGATATTTATTTATATTATAAAAATAGATTATATATTTCACTAATTAGAAATTCACTTTATATATATATCATTGAAAATAATTTTTTTACTATTATGATGTAATTAATGTTTAATAAGTTACTATCCAAAAAATACTCCGGCCGCCATATTCCTTTCTAAGCGCGCCAATTTTTAAATACAAACCTTTGCTTCTAAGATCAATCTTAACATTAGATATTTTTATTTTTTATCTTTTTTATAATCATATTAGTTTTGAATCGTTATTATTATGTTTCATAATGACATACGATTTTCGTTTATAGTTTGTTTATATATAAATTGTATACTACAAATCCTAAATTCAATGTAATATCCTAGATTTTTATTCTTTTCCAATTCTAAATTCTTTGTATTGAAGTATATATTTCCATAATAACTACTATAAATATCAATATTTTCTAAAAATGACTTGTTTGCAAGAATATTCTACTGGCAATGGCGAAGGAGTTGCGGAAGCTATCGGAAATTGGGGTTTTTCTAACAGAACTTGTAGCAGTGGTCAAGAACTTAGTCGCTTGAAATGTTTATTTGCTAAGATGGATTGTTTGTAAGTAAAGTTTAATTTGTAAGTAATTATAATTTCATTCAAGAAATTCTATCGATTTTTAATCTATTAAAGGCGTACTACAAAACCTATGACGTATGTACAATATAATCCTAAATATGATCCTGAAGCGTGGTATGTTAAACCAAGTCCCGAGGGATGTAAGCCTGCATGGACATTTCCTGAAAATAGACCCTTAATAACTTACAATTCAATAGGAAATATCGTAATGGTGTCCAATTTTAATAACGTTGCATCCGACTTAGTTTACAAGATACCCGGTAGAACATATATGTTGCAAGGTGTAAGTAGGCATCTAAATATTGTACGTACAAATACCTTTTTATCTTTGTTAATTTATTTTCTAGTCAGACAAATGGTATCGAAGAGGTCCAGATTGTTGCCCACAACCAAGTTGTTTAGCACCTCAGTGTACACAAACTTGTTATATTTAAACAATTGTATAGCTTATAATAAGCAAAGAATATATGTGTATCATTGCTTTAACCCGCATTCTGTGAGAGATTTTTTATCATATAATTTTGAGGATATAGAAGAACAGTGAAATCATCACTTGCAAAGATTTTATTACACCGCATTTCATTAAAGCAAAGCCTGTTATAGCGTATTTACATATACATACATATATATATATGCATATACATATATATATATATATGATATGTAATCTTTAACACACCTATATATACACGCACATAAGCATATTTAACACTAAGGTACAGAGTATAACATTAAAGAGGACTAATAGTATTCTTTTAATTTGTATGGAAATTTTTGAAAATAATCTTAATATAGGATATTAATCGAAAATTTCTGGTATACGTGAAAAATTTAGAAATATTTGCATTATTTAAAAAAAGAAACTGATTGACTCTTTTTGTTTTCAGGCGAAACGTCGAAGTAGTTCAGTTATGTGAGTTGAAGGGTTTGACACTTCCCCAAGTAATCCTGAAATAATTGTTGATTATACGTTAGAAAAGTGTTTTAAAATAAATCAAATATAAATCAATAATTGTATAGTTTTCAATTTACCTAAAACGTCACAAAATTCTTCCAATGATGAGCAAGGCAACAATTCATCGCGATATGTTGCAAGAACTCGTTCCGAGGCTTTTAGCATGGCTTCGTCATTATGCCTAATATATTCAGCTAAGATCGAAGGCCACTTTTCATCATAGAGCACATTTATTTTCTATAATAATCGATAAAATAAATCATTTATTTAACAAATATATTTTTCATTGAACAAATAAGTATTCAAATGATACCAACCCCGAAGAAATTAGTGTAGATACAATCGATGAGACCTAAGAATATCAGAGTACTTTTATAAACATTATATTCTTTGACTGTTGTGTTGAAAATATTTTTCGTTACGACAGATGGTGATTCGTGACGTTGATGAGCAAGTACGATAAATCTGTTGAAAAATGCAACTTTATATTTGTTCCAGCGATTAGGAGTAAGTAAAAGTACTGCAAGCGTGCACTGATATAATGGACCGTCTGCTTCGTAGCAATTTTCTAGCCACGTTGCACTAGTTGGAGATTCCAAATAAGTAACTAGAGCTTTATCTTCTCTGCTAGCCGTGCGTGTCCTATATTAATATATAAAAATTAATATAAAGTTCAAGTTCGTATCAGTTAATTCTAGTTAAGAATAAGTAAATAATAATATTTACGTACGTATTAATCACATATAATGCCATGTGTATTAAATATGGCACCATATGCATGTTAGATTGGGGACCACCACCCCCGGTATCCTCGTGGAAACTTTTTTCTTGCGCAAAACGTAATAATAATAATTTTAAATCATGAATTGTGGATGGATAGGATATATCACGATGGCTAGTACACTCCTGTAGATATGTATTGTGTCTTGCTAAGCAACTGGCAAATGCCGATTCTGGTACTTGCGGACCCCACAACGGAAGAAGTCCATTACATTTGGTATTAGCATTTTGCAAAGCTGCACTCTCCCATTCATCTCTGGCGCGTGCTAAACGAACGGCTGACATATGGCAGTCTACGTGTACCACGTTAAAATGAGTTACCGTGGTATATCCTACAGTCTTTCTCTGTTTCGTTTCAAATTCCTCAACGTTGCATCGTTTTGTAAATGTGTAAATACCTAATACCTGTAGAAAAGAAAAGAAAAACATTCGATAATTTAATTTACTTATTACATATAATAATCGTAATAAAGAGGATTTCAATAATATTAAATTACCATATTGGGCTTAAATTTATAACCCTCGCGACAAATAACGCAAACCAATCCACTTTCGTCTCCCAAGTCTTCCATTTGTTGAAGAATCGTTCCACTTGCTGTTACTTGACCCTTATCATTAGTTTGCATACCAAGCGCTCCTAATTGTCTTTCTCGCATTGCCATGGCTAAACGTTTCTTTTCGCTGCGCGTATGTTGCCTAGCTTCTTCAATTAATTGGGCAACTCGTTTATTAGTACAAAGTGCTTCGAGTAAATTTTCTGCCAATGAACCAACGTGTTCGTCCGAAGATACTTGTTCCAATCTATGAATTATACTAATGGTAACTTGTGAAGCAGCCAATTGAGTTGGTTCGTGATCTGTCGCTAGACCAGTGAGAAATCGTAAAATATATTTAAGTGCCGGCTTAGAAATAAAATCTTTTAATTCATCACTATCCGTGCGAAGCAAAGTTGGCTTAACACATGGCGCTTGTACAGTTATATATTCAAAGGCATCCTTTACTATACCCATATTAATAATATAGTCTTTCAATGTATTTCCTATAGCATTGCGTTCAATACCCTGCGTGAGGATACAAAATAGTTCCAACTTTTGTTCATCTTCTGGCGTGTGTTCAAAGTCAAATTTATAAAAATTGAGAACTGGTTTGAAGTAATCACAAAGTAAAGCCATTTTATCTTGATCGCCGTAAGTGAGAGCTGCGAGTACCCTAGCGAGATGCGCCAGGACGTTACTACTTTGTCTCACTGCTGCAGATTGCGTGCAAGAAAGAAGCGCTTTAATATGTTCTGGGCCTCCGAGTGTACGTGAGAAAGCTTCGAATGTACTGAGAGGCTGAGAAGCTGCATTAGCTAAAATTGTTTCCATAATATCCAAAAGTTGTTCCGTCACTTTAGATTGCGAATTATCGGACTCGGTAGCCAAGCAACGTTGCAGAACATCTAATAGAACGGTAACTGCTCCTAATTCTGGTTTACTTAATACATCTTGATTCTTTTTCACTTTAACGCATAATCTAAATAATTTCAAAAGAACTTGAAGAAGCGGCCCAGCTCTGGTAACATCTTGTATAGCCGCCAATCGGTTCAACATAACATGCAAACCTCCGCAATCGGCTAATACATTTGCCATTTTATATACTTCTTCATTGTTAACCTCTTGTTCGCTATTGGCATTTAAAGTTTCAACAAATTCTTCAGTCGCATCACCTAGAAGTCCTCGCATTCTATATACAACGCGCATTGGATCAGATTCACCTCCTTCCACTAGCCAGACTTTTTTATACACTTCTTTGACTTGAAGATCTAAACTAATAATCTTATTGTTAACAAGTAGTTCCATTCCATTATCGTCTTCCAATAAAGCTACCAATTCGCAATCCTGACAGATTTTGTTTTTAACGTCTCGCATTAATGGACCTAAACCAGGTTCCAAACTACTGTATGGATTGCCCAACATTCTACCTTGCAAAAAATCTTCCTGTTGAGGATCTTTCTCAAGTATCAAGAAAAATTCTCCGACATCATTGTCTTCTGGATAAATAATGGAACAAAGTCTTTCGAATATAAATACTGGCGTACGTACATCTTGAGGACTATACTTTTGAACAGTTTCAACGCAGACGGCCATAAACGCTTTCGTTTCTTCCTCCGTTCCAGTAGTCATTTCTTCTAAAAGTTCTAATAATTTTTCTTGCGTCTCATCGATAAGTCTGGTTCTCTGTACGACGAGTCTTCTCAACGATAAGTAACCATTCAAAACTGCACCTACGAGTCTTCCTTTATATTGTTGTTTTATATTTTCCTGTTCTAAGAAAGTTGCTAGTAATTCTGTTAACATTTTTAAAGAGTATCCTTGAGCTAAGTCGCTGGTCAACGTCATTTCTTCCAATCTGTGCAATTCTTCTATTTCTCTAGTTAATAATGCAGCCAGTAAAGTCATCACACCGCGAACAGCCAAGAATTGTTTCCAAGGTGGTTGTCTAATAAGACTTTCGTACAACGCGAGAAATTCTGTACTACTTTCTCCAGCTGTGCGCATTTCTTCGAGATAACATGTCAGTAATACAAGAATTTCTTTTTTCCTTTCGGTTCCTTGGCAAAGACTTTCGACCATATTACAAGCGACTTGTCGTGCCAATCGTGAACTAGGATTGAAAAGAACTTCTTTCAACCATGCACCGTCCGCTAATTTGAGTTGTTGCATTCCATGATGCCTCATGCATCGATATTGCCACCTGTGACCATATTTCTCCATAAGATATAATATACGAGTTTCACCCTTTTTCAAAGGTTTACTTGGTGCTGATTCAGTTTTCTTCGCTGGCATTCGTTGAAGCCATTCGGTATAAGAATGCTTGGCATCACCATTAAGCCATTTTTCTACGTCAATACTAACACCTTCCGGTGGTTGTATAGTTGCAACTGATTCAATAGTTTTATCCTTATTTTTCTTTGAAACCGGTTGCTCGGGTTTGATAAGACTTTGTAAAATTTTCAAACACGGCAATATAATACTATCCATGACTACGGGACTCTTTGATTCCTTGCACGCCATTAAAAATAGTTGCATAACGCACCGTAACTTTTGTTCCCAACATGAATCCTGTTTTTGAACGAGAGCAGCAAGTAATGCCATTTCGTGTCGTACTGCGATAGAAAGATCGGATGTTGCGACTCTTCCTCGCAGGGTTAAAGTAATTCGTCCAGTTAGAAGAGAACATAATTCTTTGGTAGATTGCGCATTGTCTCTGGTAACGAGACAGAGTAATTGCCTGACTTCTTCTTGCATTTGTACCGTTCCCTTACGTAAATTATGTTCTACGAGTTCTTGAATCAATCCTTGTCTACACAATACATCTCTGGCAATGCTATTGGTGGCTAAAGCACGTAACAATGTTAAACAATGTTCGGTCGCAGCTGAGGCACAACCATAACATCGTCCGGGTGGTGGAACAAACGTATCGTTTTTCACGCTAGTCTCGTTTCTCATGTACGCAATCGTCGATGGATTTTGTCCACGTTGATTTCTGTCATATGCAACTAATTCTCGGCGACAAGCTAAAACCTTTTGTATGATCTTACTCAATTCTTCAAAGGAAGTTTTACATTCTCCGCAATATCTTTGAGCTAATAATTGGATAGCACGATTAACTTGGGTATTGCCAGATATTTGAACTCCTTCTTCCAATCCTCGATCTAATCTATGTTCTGATATTTTAACGAGCAACATTTCCAAAGTGGGCTTGTGAGATATCAGAGTTTTATAAACTCTATCAGCTTTTTCTAATAAAGTGTTAATGCTCACTGCTGCTTTTTTCCTGTCATCGTCATTTTCTATCGGATCAACGGCACAACAAGGACGAGCAGTTAAAGTATAATCGAATTTAGCATATTTACAAAAACCACAGGAATGACACAAAAATGGATCTTTTTCGTCATAATTAATGGCTCGACATTTGTGACATTGAAAAACGTTTTCTCCGCAATTAGCACAAACACCTGGATTTGCAGGTACGCTAGCGGAACACCTTGGACATTGTAGAGTTTCCGAAGAGGCTTGAATATTTTCGTAAAAGTCGGCATACTCGATCATCAAATTACAAGCCACTATTGGCAATGGGAATTCCATTTTGATTTCCGTTTGTCCTTGCGATAATGAGATTTGCTTAGCCTTGTGCCACATCGCGTGCTTATTTTTCAATTCGACCACTGCTTGTACAGATCGATTATTGTAGTAAACGTTAATAGTACGCACCATCTTTGTTCTTTTCAAATCACCGATGCGTAAAGTTATTCTACTTATGGTGTGGCTACCGATCAATTTAACTATTTGAGTTGTAGTTGTGAATTTAGAATCAACCTTAATCGAGGACAGTTTGATTGTGGCCATCGACACTTCTGGATTATTGCACACAAGACATGGTTCACTTTCCAAATAATAACCATCCAGTTCTACGTACTGAGCTAAATTAGCATAAAGATTTGCATTTGGATGTTGAGCAAGTAATTGATTTTGCGCACGTAAAACTGTAACTGCTTGTTCCATGTACGAATACATCTTTTTTCCAGTATGAGGAGTTTTCAAAGAGAAATATCCTAACAGATCGACAAATTGTGCAGCTTTACGTCCATAAGCTGGAAGCAAAGGCCATAAACGCCAAAGAATATCTAATAAGCGTTCTTGATCGACTGGGCCACAATTTCTGAAAATAAATTTAATAATTTGTAAAAATGATCTTATAAATGCTACTATTAACAAACAAATGAATATTATTATCATACTTGTAAATAGCCAATATCAGTGAGTGTGCTTGCCAACGAACATTCGTATTATTAGTTTCCAATAAAAATGTTTGTATAAACTTTGTCAGTAATGCAGGAGAAACTTGTTTCTGAATTTGTTCTACCAAAGTAAGACATTGCGCTTCTTCAAACTTTGCTTCCGTATCAGAATCTTCTGATTTTTCTCGATCGCGGCGTTCTTTGGCGTTCGATGATTTAGCATCCTTTATTTAATAGACACCAATAAATGAAAATATTGTTTATTAAAATATTATTATCAATTAAATGTAACTCTAATTTACCTTTGTTTTAACATCTTTTGTTTCCTTTGATTTATTATTCGAACATATAGCACATTGCAATAATTGAAGTACCGTAGAACTTACACCTTCGTCCAAAAGAGTAGAGACAGAGAAAAGATAAGCTAAAACGGTATTTTCATTCAAGCAAAATCTTTGCCAATTACCAGTACGGCTACTTGCTATTTCTACACAATATTTCAAATGTTCGATTAATTCTACTAATGAATCATAAGAAAGATTAATAGAATGAGGATGTAATTGTTGGGGATCGTATCCTCCAGTAGTACAACATTGTTGTACTGCCTATAAAATTAATAAAAAATAGAATTAATTTCATCTTAATTATGATCTAGTTTCAAACGAGAACAAATAACATTCTTAAAAAGCATTCATAGTTACCTGAATATGAGAAATAAGAGCATGTAAGTCACGCAATTGTCTGTATTTTTCTTTGTTACCGCAGATGAATAATAACAATTTGCGTACTTGCCTTCTCACAAATGGTGTTTGATAGAGCATCATATATTCGCATAAGTATAAGTACCAGGGCTGTATAAATGAAATGAATTTTATTTTAATAGAATATCTTATTTAACTATCAATTTATATTATTAAATACTTACTTGATCAAATGCTGGCTGAACTGCATTACTTTCAGAATATTTATGCACTTGATATGGTAAACGCAAAACCATTTCTGTCAATAATTGAGGATACGGCTCGAATACATCTCCAGCATGTCCTTTTACATACTGTCGCAAAAAGAATGGCGACATATCGGGTGGTGAGCTCGTTAAATGCTCTTTAAGTAATAAGCCACCAATCATGTTTCCGGTTTCTTCGCTAGACGTTCTAAATATATAAACATTATCATTTATAAATTGTATATATGATTTATATACATATATTACTGCTATAAAGAAAGTCGTACGTTTTCCAATATTCTAATAATGCCTTTAATAATGTCAGACAATAATCTATAACACCTGCTTTGCTAAGTATTACGGCAACCGTTTGTGAAACAAAATTTGGATTTTCCGATGGAGATTTAGTATTATACTTGGAGCGAGACATTAAAACACCTATAAATAAGAAAATATTATTACATAAAAAATAGCTCTTATATGTTTATAGGAAAAGAAAACAAGAAAAACTATTATTATAAGTGAATACTAACTGAGTAATCGCATGATAACCAAGTGCACTTCTTTTTTATTGGTACGTTGACAAATATTATTTGTATCTGGTTTATCCATTTCTAATTCTTTTACCAACATATGAATTAAACGTTCTACGCACGCTCTATCTCTCTCGTCTTGACCATCCAAATCAGATGTTAACATTAAAATTACCTAAATACAATTATAAAAATGAATCATTTAAAAAGAAAGTATATTATTAAAATATAATATTACCATAAAGAGATTAAACATTACATACTTGCATGTACGGTATTACGAGTACGCCAGAAACATTTGTTAAGTCTGGTATAAATTGTGTAAGTTTATCCAATAATAAAAGTTGTATGGAGTGAAGTTTCGTTGCTCCTTCCACACTCGTATCGCATTCTTGTTCATTAGTTTGTTCTTGTTCGGTACATTCTTGTTCTGTTGTCTATGGACAATATAATGAATATTTAATAATCATTTATTTTTATTCTCTCTGTTAAAAAATATTGACATCAATAATACATTAACTTACGGTAACAGACGCGGTAGCGCCTACAGAAGTAGTTTCAGTTAGTGTTGCTTGATTAGTACTACTACTAACTCCAACCGGAGTTGCATCGGTAGCTGTATTGTCGCCATAGGCAGAACTTCTTCCTGAAACATTCTGCTCTCCTGCCATGCTATCAACGGCACTTCCCCCACTTTCGCTTCCGCTGCTTTCACTACCTTTGCTACCACGACTGCCACCCTATCCGCAAAAGAAGGCAATATATATTAATTTGAAATATTCATTTTCATCGTCGATTATTAGGAACAATTAGTTACTTGTTCTGCTGGTGACGTTCTTAAAGTACTGCCATCGGTAGCAGCTGTTGATCCTTCGTCATCCGAACCACCAGCAGATGCAGTCGTATCAGAATAATGACCTCCTTCATGACCCTGAAAACAAATAAATTAAGTAAATAATTATTATTAACTTTGATGTATAATTATATACGTATGATATTAAATATTTATTCATGAAAAATTACCTGAGCTGTATTTAAAGATTGAACCATTCCCTGAGCAGCCAAAGCTTGTATGTTGTGGAAGATAGATCCACCTAAATTTCGTAAAGTTTCAAAACCTTGTCTTAGAGTTTCTATATCGGCCGAATCTTCGTGATCTTCCAAACTTAATGCAATTGCGATCTGAACGACTGTTTCGTCTGCATCAGGAGGAATACGAAGCAATTGTTGTAAACTACCAGGTCCAAGGAATGCTTCGAGAGGATTAGCTCTTCCATCGGCAGGACCTTGATTAGCAATTGCTCCAAGAAGTGCTACTACTTGATCTACAGCTTCAACGTGATATTGTTGTTCGGGTTGTTCTCGTGGCGCGGTACTTTGCGATGGACGAGAAGTCGCTGGAGCAGATGGCTCTTCCGCTTCTACAGCTGTACCTATAAATATAACATTTAATTGCAATATTATTATTATTATTATTATTGTTATTATTATTATTATTATTATATCTTATGTAATAATATCTTTGACTTCTCCCTTTAATTTATACCTGGAGTATTGCAATTAGGTGGACTCGGTATGTATACCCGTCTCCTTTTATATCTCGGTCTTAGTACTCTTATTATAGCATGCTTAGCACTGAAACTAATTGTTGTATCTGAAGACAATAGTAATTGCAAATATAATTTTGCAGCTAGAGGTGTATTGCCATCCACGTCGCATGTAGTAAATGCATGAATAATTTCAACGAGTGCATGAACCGTTGCTTCGGTATGCGTTAATCCTGGAACTACGACTGGTGCAAGAGCCATGTTCTTTGGATATGCAGCATGTAACAGCCATAAAACTTCTGTAAGCTGTATGACTAAATGTTGATTGCTATCTGCGCTTGTAAGACTTTTCATATTCGAACGATCAGCTTCAAAAATGGGTACTGAAATTATAAATTAAAACATGTATTATTACTAATATTATTTTTGTTCGATTATCAATTCATTGTGCATTAATCGTGTAATTTACTTTTACTTTCATCCATGGGTTTATTGGTATATTGTTCTGCAAATTTGGCGAGATTGTTTGCCCTGCATATAGCAATTCCTCTTACAATAAGTACAAGTCTGTAGAAATTTTCTGCATCTATATCACGTGAATCCTCAATCTCTCTCATTGTTTTTAATGTCTCGAGTACATGAGAAAGTAAAACCTGATCCTATAATCAAAAAATATTAACAAATATAATTTATTTCATTCTCACTCTTTCTTTATACATTTTTTAAAATTAAATATACTTATAAAAAAAAAAATCTTACTTTATGGAAGTGATACATTTGTTTGGAACTGTATAGGGCAGCAAGTAGGGCCGTTGTATTCACTTGCACTAATGGAGGTGTTGGTAACACCAAAAGTCGTGATGCCATATCAACTGCTGCTGTTCTTAATAATGGTAACTTATTATCATCATTTGTGGATAAATTAAATGACAATTCCAAAACCTCCAGGATGCTCGAAACCATCCTGTAAAATAATATAGAATCATGTATATAATTATACGGTAATCAATTGATATTTTACAAACTAACACTATTATATTCTATGTGTATGTATATGTATATATATATTATTATTTTATTTATTTAATAGATTTACGTGTATTCATATTTCTTACCTTTCTACATTGACAGAATTGTCCTTTGTCAATCTGTGGCACCGTAATAATAAGACGACATCTTAATATAAACAGATTCAAATTAAAGTGTTATGTTTATAAATAAAAACTTACCTGTCGATAGAAGATAGAGGTGCTGGAGAAACAATAGTATTGTCTGCTTCGCTACTAATAGCAGGTATATGTGCTGATGTGGATTGACCACCGGGTAAAATTTCCTCAGTTTCTTCTGGCCAACCAAATGCATCTTTATTTTTTCCATATCTAATAAAAAATAATAAATTTCATTAAAGTCTATATTTATGTGTTTGTATTTAAATGAAATCTGTTCAAGTAAAAGTGATAGTAAAATAAAAACTATTAAAAAAAAAGAAAAGCATATGAAACCCACACGTGAAGAAAGTAAAACTTTTAAAGTTTTGTGTTCTGTTCTCTGTCTTCTTTCTATTTCTATCTCTTCCTCCCTCCCACTCTCCCTATCTCTATACTTCCTATCTTTTCATATCGTTTCATAGACTTTTGTTATACTCGCTACTACACTCGCTAAAAAAGTTTCACTTCAAAAATGATATTAATAAAATAAAATAAAATAGACAAACATTTTAATGGAGTCAACCATTATGACACCTTCGGAATCTTGAGAAGGGCCAAAAGTGATAGTCAATTTTTTATCAGCTAACAAACTTTCTTCTCTCGTTAAAGGAATATCAAACCACCGACTTCTGGTCAATGTAGTTCGTATAGTTCTACCAAATACCTACAACGAATGAATAATATATTATACATTGTTATATAAAACATTTTTATAATATATTTAAACTCTAGTATCGAAAGTTTATTAACTTACTACAACAAATAAAGGTGCCCTCTGAATATCTTGATTTCCAAGTAACACTCTTATACCGGTCATGACTAGAATCGCGTCGTTATTTGTAACTTCTACGTTAAAACCCATAGCTTTCGTAGAAACAACGTACATTCCAGTTGTATTTAAACGATGCTTGATTTGGGCTACATTATAAATCTGTAAAAGATCGTTACCGCCATATTCAACGTCGTTCATAACTTGGCAGTGTTCAAAAAAGTCTATAGGGAATGTAACAGAGCCTGTTGGTTTAGTTGTTTTATTTGTTTTCTTTTTTCTCGCTGGCTTGATTCCTGTCATCGTACAATTAGGTTGTATTGCAGATGACATCCAAAATCCTGTTTGTTCCATTCCAGCCATATAAATTCTTAAACTTCCATCTTCGCATAACAAAATCAATGTTGTACGATGTTCCGCGTTTGAGCTTGGATGTCTGATGGCAACCATATCCATAATTTTGGCTTTCGCCGGTAAGACTTTAATCTCTTGGATCATAATAACATCTGGCTTGATCATTAATATAACAGGATTGTTACTTGTTTGTAGAACAGAACAAACTAATCCAGGATGGTTGACAACTTCGCTCCATTGACAAAGAGGCTGTGGCTGATTGTTATTAGATTTATTTCCGTTTGTCTTATTACTACTAAGATTTATTTGAAATACGACTGTAATGTCAGAATCAGTATTTTTGAGAGGTGCAATAAAACTTTTTCCACAGGCATAACTGAAGAAAAGTAACTGCAATGCGTGAGAGTAATAAATAGATACGCCACCACCTCCAACTTGTCCATTATCTTTAATTTCTGAATGATAAACATCTAATGTATTAGTTACATAAAATGGCCCATCTTTGGCTAAACTTTCTCCATCCATCGCTTGACTGTAAATATATCCTACAGAGGACATAAGTAATAAATGGAATACTCCATTTTCCGCGTGTATAAATGTACAATCTCTTATTTTGCCAGTTGGTACTAGGAAATAATATTGAGGACTTAGTATATCCTTAGCAAGATCATAAATTTTAACAAAATCTGCTGTAACTAATGCCAATTGAGTCTGACAACCGGGAAGCCATAGAGCTTTTATAATAAAGTTTCCAGTTTCAAGTAGTGGATGCAAAACTAAATGGTCAGATACTGTTCCAGAGCTATTAAAAGTAAGTACGTGACAATCCTTAAAACCACAAACTGCTAAGAAATCTTCATTCCATTGATTTCCCGTTATTGAAAGCACAGTAAAAGGAATCGGAGCAGATGCCAATCTGGTTAGTGTGAGTTTTCGCTTAGAAGAGTCAGCTTGTTTCAATAAAGCACTGAGCTGTAATACAGTTATCTTTCCTTTTTCATGGGAAACCGCTAAATGTTGCCTTTTACCATGGGGAGATGATAAACAACACATAGCAACGCGTCGTATCATATGTGCCGATAATAGTTGTCTAATGGTCTGTCCTTGATCACCCGAATAATTCATTCTCACATTTTCAAAAGCACCTTCCTGAGATCCTAATGTTGGTAACATAAGTTGATTAGTATGTTCAAATTTCTTTTCCAAAGTATGCAATTGCTTAAGAGCTTTCTGTGCTCGTGCATGACAGCCAACTGGTGAATTTTGTTGACAACAAGCGTCTACTGCAGGTATCAATGCATAAATTAAATCCATCAACGACGAGACCAATCCACTTTTCCATAAATGTGATTGCACCCACTCTTTGGAACTTTCGAGTTGTTTCGCTAAACGCTCTTGCTTTTGTTTATCACGTCCAGCTCTCTCGTGTTTATCGTAAAAATGTATAGGACTTGAAGTTTTTTGTCTTAAACTACTGGTAAGAAGTGCATTGCTCTCTACAGGTGCTCCCATGCTATTATACGACGCATTATTGCTTGCTTGATGTTCTGACGTTTGGGGACTACGTTTTATTAATGCTTGACAAGATCCGTCATCTTTGGCGCCGCAATCGCAGAAGAAATTTCCATATTTCGCGTATGTAACGTCGTGTCCTCTATGACAAACACGGGCACAAACTGTGCAAACACCAACTCCATCGACCATATTACAAGTATGACAATGATACCAATGTTGATTCATAAACTCCTTTTGAGTGATTGTAAAAGTACATAACTTATTGCAAAGACTATCTTCGTCAGAATCTTCTACTGCACTGTCATCTTCTTCGTGCGGAATTTCATCCAACCAATCGCTATCGTTAATATCATTGATCGGTGTAATACCTTCCCAAGGTGGGCTAGTAGCTCGATCCAATGCTTGTATTTGCGGCGGACAAACTGCATTAGCTATGTCGGCTATATAATTTAACATACAACAACCACCTTCAATATATGGCGACGACTTGTCCAAAGTTTGTGGATCTTTATTCATTAATTGTTCTTTGCAGAGTTCAACCCATTCTGTTGTAGCTTTAAATAACATTATATAACCTTTCTCAGATCCGGCATCGGCCAAAGTTGACATAATGTGCATCAATTCTGAGAAACCATTGCCTTCGATTGCAGGAGATAAAATATGATATCCCAATGGTATAAGCGCCTGTAGTATAGTCACTGCCACTTCTTCATTCGCTGCACTTCTTTCTTTCACAATATAATTTGTAAGCGCACATAAGAATCTGCTATTTTCATGTACCGAATGTTGGTCTTCATTTGTATTTGTTACTTGATTACTATTAACAGATCCATCGGATAATAAAATTGCCCACTGAACTTGTTCGCTATTGGACGCATTGTTTACATCTTCCACTTTCTGGCCATCTTCTGCGCTACCTGTTGCAGCTACCAACGAGTTTGCAGTAACTACTGTAGGCGTTTGAATGTTTGTAGAAGATGCACTCGGCGATGCGTTGGATACTCCAAGAATGATATGTCGTAACCATGTTTGAAGTTTTGCACTAGGGATGTTAGTAATGTTTAAAACAGACTTACAGAGTCGTTCCACAGCTTCGTCGTGTCCCTTTTCTGCTACTTTAAAAAGTGCATTGAAAAAATGTAAAACGTGAGTACTAAATTGTTGAGTTAGTCGTGGCGATATTATCGATAACAAAACAGCCACGAGAGTATGATTCGTGTTTGGTGCAAAAAATAAATCTAAGGCTTTACGTCCAACTTGTTTATCCAATAAATCTTCCCAATACTTAATGCAACGTTTGAGAATCTTTTCATCAACGGATATGCCAATAGATTCATCCGTATTACTTGTGTATTCAATAATTAAATTGTTTGTATAGTTTAATACAAATAAATGTTCTTGTAATTGGCGTGCCTCACTGTCGTTATCTCCTATCAGTTTGGTTAAGATTTTTCCTGACATATCTTGAAGATATTGCATGCGCGCATCCATCGTTAAAGAAATTAATATATTTACAGCCTGAGTGTGTACATCTGACTGCTCTGGCACCGTCGTAGGAGTTACATATTCCATCATAAATGTGATAAGAGAATGAAGCAGATTCTTCAAAGATGGATTAATAGAAAATGTAGGATATTCAGAAAGCGAGTTGATATGATGATTCACTGTTGTTAAAATGTAACTCTCAGCAGGTATTATATCGTTAGCATACGTATTCCATGGAACGTGTGCAACACTAATAGATTTCCATTTATCTAGGATGGATCTGACATTATTGGGTAAGTACGTTACTAATGATGAATCTACTGCCCAATTAGCACCTGCTATACAAATAACATTGTCAATTATCAAATAATCTTGCAAATTGTACTTGCTTTGTACATCCGAAGAATCGAGCATTTGATATAGTATGCTTGACTGACAGGATCGTAAAATAGCTTCTGTTAATGAAAGAAAATGCGGCAAAATATCAACTATTATTTTATTCAAATTTGACGAGTTGAAATCAGAAATTTGCGAACACTTAGAAGCTTCAATATTGTCGGTAGGACTCTTGGATATACTTTCATCCATAAGAACTTGTAACTTGCCAATAATGGCAGCTAATATGCACAAGGAGCTAAGTTTTGGTAATGACTCTTTTGGCATTATCTTAGCGTCAGTACCTATATCTGGTTTTAAAGACGTAATACAATTTTTGGCAAGCGTAATATCATATTTAAGCGAATTCACGGTTGATGATACCGTTTTTAGTAAATTTTCAGCATACTGCGTATATATTCCTTGCTTGACTAAGCAGTCTTTCATCCAGCCAGTAAAAGTTTTATAAGCAGTTCTAGGTCCCCAGATCAAAGAATGAAGTAACATTGGACCAGCTGGTATCTCTTCACCCAGAGCAAGTTTATCCATATATGGTGTAGAAGGAGGCAACATTAATAATAATCGCCAACATATTGAGAAACAATATTGAATACCACATAATCCAGTAAATGTCATTTTATCTTTACTATCGGATGTTGTTTTTCTGGGCATATCTGTCTGCATCAAGACATTAAGGATATCTATCAATGCGTCTACTAATAGTGGATATTTCATTTTGTCCGGTGTACCCAAAATGAAATTACAAGCCTATAAAACATAAAAGATTAAATATAGATATCTATTTGAATAAGTATTAATATTTATTTTATAAACATGATAACCAACCAATCCATCTAATTTAGGTGTATCTTGATTATTAAAATCAGCAGTGGATAAATTATAAAAACGAGGCTTCATAGAAAATTCATCTTGTGAGCAAAATTTACGGTAGTTGTCTTCAATTTCTATCCATGGTGTAAATATTCTGGATGCTTGTTTGTTACCATCCTTAACATCGGAAACTAAACTTGTCGCAGAAAATAGATTCCATTGTACCTGAACAACATACAACATCATTTTGTACATATTATATTACATTTTATAGAATTATTATATTATCATGTTATACTGTACATGTTATACAAATTTGTGTGTGCGAGAATTTTACTACCAGTCAGATGTCATTATCAGTCTGCTGGCCCTGTTATCTCTATCTTATTATTTTAGTAAAGATTGTTATTACTTTAGCATCTGAATAGTTTAATATACCAATATGTACGTGATATATTTTAATGAAAATTATAATAAAACTACCAAATGCTTGTGAAAATACAAATTAATTTTAAGATATTTATTCAATTTTTTACCTGTTCAAGCAATGTAGGAGGTGCATCATAAAGATGTTCCATAAGATATTCCAATAAAAGTAACAAACGTGATAAATGCAATAATTGATAATCTTTCATTGGTGTTTTAACAGCCTCGCTACAACGAACTGCACCACTGCCAGTTAAAAGTAACACCGACTTCTTTTGCATTAAATTCAGACAATGAAATAAAAATAACACTAATTGCGCGTGCTCAACATTTAAATCTAAAAATATTAATTAAATTAATTATCGTTTTTAGTTATCCAATAATACATTAACTATATAATATATATAATAAATGCAATAATAAAATATATTCCACCTTCATTTTCAGCTTCAAATGTTGTTGGTGGATTACATACATTTTCGACTAAGGTCGTTACCAATCTATGCCATATACTTATACAAGCAGCTTCTTTCTCTGCTTGAGGTTTTAATAATAATACCTATAAATGAAGATACTCGTAAGAATTCATGATATAATTATTCCTAAGAGGAGTAAACTAATATGAAAAAAAAAAAAGATTAAAAACCTGCGCTAAAACACTGAGCGTTCTGGGATACACTTGTAAGGGCCAAGTAGAAGTTGTACTAGTTTCAATTGACCAAGGATTAACACTGAGATGTTGAAGCAAAGTATTTTGTAAACTTTCGCTTAATGTATTATGTGCAAGTAAATTATGAGTATAGCAACTCAAAGCTTGTGAAAATTCAGCATATAATGCGCCTAAGGTAGGACCATAGAATACTGAAATAGTTCCTACAAAAAAGAAAAGATATTAAAATAATGGTATATAGTACAAATATCAATTTTCAATCTGATCATTTTTCTATTATACAAGTGCTAACCTGTTTCGGTTCTAGCAGTTTCATGATCCAAATCTCTTATTATTGCTGCCAATATAACTATTTGTTGTTCTACTAATCCATTGACAACATATTCACGAACGTATGCACTTCTACTACCAATTAAATGTTGATTCATAAATTGGAAAATTTTCGTTGCCAATGAAATATACTGTAACCAAGATGAAAATATTATACAGAAACCTAACTCATATATGCAATAATACAAAAAATGATTAATAACATACACCGTGCGGTTCACGATTATCCGGAACAATAATAATTGCAGTGTGTTCAGCACTTGCTTCATTGCTTGGTTCTTTAATGGCATTTGCAGGTGGCCCATCGGAAGGAGCCAGAGTTTCCTCAAACCAAAGACCCAAAATAGGTTCGCTGTCCTCCTCTACCGACATAACAGTTTGTTCTATATCATGAAGATATACCAGGAAGTTAGTAACAGCGATAAAGTAGAGACAGGAATACAACTTTTAAATTGAATCAAATGATACGATAGCTACCATTTCATTGATAAGCATATATGAAGCTTTATGAAATGTCATTTAAATATTAGTGAAAATATTAAATGTAATTTACACGAAAGAGAATATATAAATAGTTAATAAAATTTAGTAGTATTACTACAGATTAAGAAATACATAAATATATATATTTAAATAATAATAATAATAATAATAATAATAATAATAATAATAATAATAATATATNTATATATATATATATATATATATATATAAATATATATAAATGATTTTTACAGTTACCTTCATCCGTTGAGTTTTCTGAACAACTCAAAAGATCATCATAATATGTGGTAGAGTCGGATTGACTTAAAGTGTCACCCTCTAAAGGATGTTTCTGTATTCTTTTTAATGTACAAGCCTAAACAAATAGAAATACATAGTAAATTTATAGACGATCAATAGATGATTGCAGAACTTAATCATAATATTTGTCATATAGGAAACATTGATATATTACCCTTTTGTAACTAATAGTTGCTAAATAAAATAGTAAGTGATTGAGAGGTACAGCTTGTAGGAATGTAACTGCTCTTTGAAGTGCAGTAGCAGTAGACAAAATATCTAATGGTGCTGGCTCAGGAGAGGAGGAATCTGTACTAGCTTCTATAGATACATCTTCGAGAAGAGCACTCATCAAGGTTAATGCGTGTGACGCCAATGCTACAGACAATACTCCAAATCCTTGTTGACTGTAAATATAAATATTTATATTTTCCATTAAAAATGTTTTCTTATTAATTAATTATATTTATTATTTAATAAATTTTCATTACACTTTCATCAAGTTTACACGACCAGTTCCATCTCTGGCTTTGCTAGGTGATTTTCCTTTTTCATCTTTTGCTTTATCTGCTGCACTAAAACTGCTTACTGATAATTGAGCTTGCAAGCCAGCAACTAATAACCAAACTCCGATCAATAGATGATTTTGAAGAATCTGAATTAAATGATCATTGTAATAAGTATTATAAAATATTATTGTGTGTGTGTGTATGGATATTGTATAAAGAGAATCAACAACTCACATGACCACCGGCACGTGTACTGTTTTTAATTATATTTGAAACTAATCCAAATATCTCTAAACTTTTTTCCACAACGGTTATGGCTAAGGCATCGTATTCTTCCTGAATTCTGCCTGCATCCTCTGCATTTTTTGTGCTTTGACTAGCTTGAGCATTTCCAGATGTATTGGTACTGCATTTAGGAGATACGGCATTTGTAATTCCAACGATACTTGATGCGGCAGCATTAGTAATCGAGCAATACAAACAAGACATAGCTAGTGTTGATAATTTTTCTAATTTTACGTGAGTCAATGGTTCAAAGACAGGTAATGATAATACGCTATGCACGATATTTATGTCGTTAACTACCAAATGCAAGCTGTGACGTATTATATGAGCGTCGCAAGCATTTGCTGGTAAACTAAAACTTTTTTTATTTAAATATATTTGGTATTTGCGAGCGTATCTCGATACATGGGGAAGATTAGCGCACATATCCAACAATATATCCCCTGCACCCATACTCTGAAGAGTATTTATATTGTTTGCTATAAACATCATCTGAAATAAATCAAATATAGAATAAATGAATGTATTAAATGTCAAAATAAAACAATGGTAAAAAATTCGAGAAATGAACCTTTGTTTCTGTATGAGCCTCATTATTTGTAGTATCGGTTGAGTTTTTATTAGTACCTTCAGCAAAATTTTCAGTGATAAAGGATACAGGTTGCGCAAAATCTTGTAATGGCATTGTTAATTGCTCCAGAATACTGCTGGATAAATCGCTATGCGTACGTTTTGTCTCTTTCACAGACTGCGTAGAAGTATCTTTTTCTTTTCCAGATTGTGGAGATTTGACTTGGGAAGGTACTTTAGCATTTTGTATTGCTGTAATCAATGCTGTTTCTTCTGTTGATGAGAGTAAAGTTTGACCAGTACATAAAGCACGTATCGGTAAAAGTAACTGTTTAGTAGTTACAACCGTTGATGCATTAGCATCTCCAGGATGAGTCTGTTGTTGTCGTAATACGCCGACAAGATACTGAAGTAGTATCTTGCATGCTTGACATACCGTTGGTATTTGACTTTTAACATCTACAAGAGCATAAAAATATCACACAAATTCTATATATATATATATATATAAATACATTCAAGTTATACAATTTAAATTTAATCCAAAATATTATCATACGCGATAAATTATGAAAATATTGATTAAAAGAAAAAAAAAAACAGTGGCATTAGAAGTTGTCAAAGAAGTAAAAATAGAAATACTTACAGGAATTAGCAAAGTTACTAATGTACTCTGCAGAAAGAGCAGCGACAGACGTGTAGAATGTTTCATACTGTTCTTCGTGTGTAATAAATTTATTCTCACTGTAACAAATATGAGAAAATCATATTAATGAAGAAGAAGGTTAATACTTGTATTTATTTTTGTCACCCTTAACATCCGTTTCTATTCTGTCATAATGTCAAGTTGACTAGTCGTGAGATTACAAGGCAAATATATGAAGAAAGTATACAAAGGAAATATGTCAAATTAATAGTACTTACTTTTTCACGATATTCTTTATAAGTTCTATAACGCTATTTTTATTTAAAGAACCAGACGATGCGACTAGTATTGGTTTTATAGCCGAGAACCACTCGTCATTACCACCACTTTTCGCCGCCATTTTAAAGAATGATACATTAACTGATCACGCAAAACGAAATCAGAGTACAAACAGGGTTGCCAATATAAAATAGACAATTGTTTTTTTTTATATTATTGTTATATAAATTATATATTCAGAACAACTGATTATTAATTGATATTTAATCGACTGATAATATATTTTCTTATAATATACAGCAATCACATTTTTATCTTTTATTTTGCAATAAAATCATTTATTATTTTCTTTCCAAATATATGATGTAATCTTAAGGGTACTAATGTGCGCGCGCACGTCTGTGATCTATCGATAACATATATTCGATTGTACAATTTAACTAAATTTAAATAATTGTAAAAATAACAAAAATGGAATATTGTATTTTGTTGTGTCTTCTAGGGATTTTTGACACTGCTGTAAAATGATTCGTGCAGAAAACGTAAGGCAGTCGCCCAAGACAATCTCTCACAAATTATAGTTCATAAATAAAATTCTCATTTTGTTTTTTGTCATATTTAATCACCGCGTTTTCTCCTCCTCGAAAAATGTACTTTTGAATAAAAAAATGATTTTATTTTCATCCAACAAATCGTCTTAATACTCAATAATAGTAAAAGTATAATTGCGTGAAATACAATAGTGATTTGTTAACTTTTAATTAGAAATGAAAAGTAAAATTAAATTTGAAAATAAAGGCGCGTTATTAGATAAAATGGCGCCAATGTATATCGAATCGGTATCGAATCGATATCGAGGTATCTTCGATTGTCGATACTGGTTGATTAATAGACAGTGGCACAATAATGTGCTAATGACGGATTTAGGGGATCTTATGTGTGTCGTTTGTGAATATCTTATTCTCTTTAATGATGTTGCATTAATTAATAAGGATATTGTAGAAAAATGAACTCTTTTCTAACAACATCACTATCTTGATGTTTTAATGTAAAAGCTTCTTGCACATATAAAATAAGTGTCTATGTGACGTTGACTTTGACGTTTACAAGTGTTATCTATTAGTTACGTGTTAGTGTTTAGGTTAAATACATCATGTTTGCGAGTTTAAAGAATAAAATACGCGAAGAAATTGGTAGCGATGTATCAACTGTAGTTCGAAATGCTGCAAATATTCGAAATATAAGTTCTAGGCATGTTTCACAGGTATCTACATTTTCCCATTTACATTTGATTACATTTGGATTTTCATTGAAAATGCAAAAGGATTTGTGCATTTTCTTCTATTGTTTTTGCCTTATTTTCCAGACAGGATCTACCAGTAGTATTAGCGAATCTCAAACTTCATTGGATGGATCCCGCGATGAACACGTAGCTTCTTCTTCTTCTCCAATTTCGAAGAAACAAGACAATAATTTTTCCATTAAACTCAGTGACAGCATACATTTGAAAGATATTAAAAATTTAGACAATCAAGAGGAAGAATGGCATAAATTCATAAACAGAAAAGAAATGGAATTACAGAAGAAAATAGAGAAAATCAATGAAGAATGGAAGATTAAACTTTCGGAAAAGGATAGAGAATGGAAGAAAATAATAGAGAAGCAAGAAAAAGACAAAATCAAATTAGAAACTGAATTACAAGCTACAGAAAGTTCCAAAAAATCTTTAGAGTTGGCGCTTAGAGATGCAGAAGGTTGGTATTTAATAAAGATATCAATTTAATTTTCTATCTATCAAGGATTACATGTGACTAATAAAAACAATTAATCTTAATGAGATAATGCACTTCATTTGTATATCATTTCAAATGTATTTTAGAATATAAAAAGAAATTATATAACTTTCAAGAAGATGCGGAACAACTAGAAAGTTATCAAACGCAAGAAATGGCTAAGATCAAACATCTCGTGAGTTTTTTTTTTATTTACTCGCAAACGCTTAAAAAATAGTATTGAAATGACTTAATATTTGATACTTTACTTTAGCTTCTATCGAAAGAACAAGAGGTGGAAGAAAAATCACAACATTTAAAAGTTGCCTTAGCAGAAATTGAAAGCCTAAAGTCAGAAGTTTCGCGTCTTAGGAGATACGAAGATGATTTAAATAATATACAGGTGAGTACACATATTCTACAATATTTTTTATTTTTTTAATCTAAGAAATCTTCATTTTTATACTTATATTTTTTAATATATATTTTTTCTGCTGATTTTTATTGATCGTATAAAGTTAGAAAAGTATATTTTCATAAACATATACTTGTTATATATTTATTTTATTAATAAACATACATAATTAAAGGAAAAAACTTGTTTATGAATTAAATAATTTAAAAATATAAATATATTAAAATTAACATGGCCCATTCATGTACATTATTTTATGCATAATATGACCAAAAAGTCCATATTAGAAGATAAAATAGCTAATAAAACTATTTTTATATCTTTCATATAAGATATGACGCTTTTACCGATTCTTTTATGTTCATAACATTAAAATGCGCTAGCAATTCGTTTATCAATAATTTACTTTCTTGTTTCGATCGTATAAAAACATGGTTTTATAAAATTATTATTATTATTATTATTATTATATTTACCAGCATGTCTTTTTTATTGGTTTTTTTTTTATTTTATTTCAAAAGATCTTTTTATTTAAGTGTCCACTTTTAAATAAATTTAATTAATATCGCTGCTTATTTTGCTATATTTTGCTACTCTTCACACACTCTGCACTTTTATTATACTATTATACTATTAGATATTTAAGACTCGTGTCGATTAATTACGAATTACATTTATTTAGAGAACATTTCATATATTCTATTAATATCAATCATTCTATTTTCTATTGGAAAGATTGACCTCTTTGTTTGAAAATGTATTTTGATGATATATGTGACTGTGTTTTATACTTTTCAAATGTTTGTCGTTTTTATTTTAAATTGTGATATATGAGAAGAACATTGTGATAGCAAATAATTTTGTGAAAGCAACATATGCATGAAGATTGGAAAATATCTTAATAAATGAAAAAGTGGGAGATCAGGGTAGGCAGTAATTTCTGCTAATTTGCTGCCGCTACTGCTGACACTAGAGGTACGTTTTCATAGCCTTGCCGCTATATTGCTCTATAGCAATATTGCTATTTTATTTCTCATTAACATAACTTAATTTACGTATATTTATTTAACACACTATTGTATATAAGCATACATACATACATGTATGTGTATATATACATATATACATATGAAGACTGTATATATATATGTACAATCAATGTACAATCAATTAATGTTTTCATTTGCAAATACGTATCTTTGGTAATGCGGTATTTTATTACGATATCTACTCATTGTAATACAAAAATCAGCGTGCATGTAATATTATTATATTAAATATTTCTTATATCAAATAGCTTAAGCGCAAATTTTGTGCTTTTTATCACAAGCTTTATATATTTTATTTATAATTTTATGTTCTTATTTTTGGCACTTTTAACATATTGTCATTACACATATACATTTTCTCTATGGGTCGTGAATAATTTGTTGTGATAATTAACATTATGATTGTCGTCTCTGCTTAGGTAAGATTTATAAAACAAGCTTGAAAAAGAAAAGATTTCTTTTTGTACATATTAAAGAAATAAATATTATATTAGATTTTTATTTTTCAGGATGAAATGGAAACTCTGCGCCATTCGACTCAACGCGAAAAAGCCAAATTGTCGTGTAAATTAGCACAAACGGAAGAAGTAGTTCGTCATCTGAAGGATAAAGTTTTCGTATTAGAGCAAAGAGGTGCTTCGGATACAAATGATCCAATGACGAATGACGAACGAATAGCCGATCTCATGAGAGAACGTACCCTTTTGGACAGAAAATTAGAGGAAGCTCATCTTCATCTATCTGATATAAAAACCAGTTGGTCAGGAAAAATAGCATGTTTGGAAACGCAAGTTGGCAGGCTCAGTAGACAAGCGGGAGAAGAAGGGCTAGAAAGAAGACGCGTAGAAGAAGAGAAAGAAAAATTGAAGCAAAGGATTAAACAACTAGAAGCTGAAATAGAGGTGAACAATGTTGTTATGGCGACGAAAGACGCCAAGCTTTTGCGCATGGCCGAGGACATCGACGAAATGGCCACGGAACTAAAAGAGCTCCGGGCCAGCGTCGATGACGAAGAATTTAAGCGGCAAATCGTGAGTTACCGCGATATGTAGTGATGCTGCATGTTTACTCTTGATGATATGATAGTTTATCTTCCAGGAAAACATTTTAGTATATGAACTGGAAAAAAAAAAAAAGAAATGACTTTTATTATCCACACCCTACCTACCAGTCATCACAATATCGAACTGCGACACTTCTTGCTTTTATTGCATTTATCTTTTTTCCATTATTTTATTGTTCCATAATAAATGAAATAGGCCTATAACAAATATCTATAATAATTATTTTCAAACATGTAAAAATTGCCAATATAACATCTATGTAACATTGCAATTTCTTTTATATATTTAACGCTTGTGCAATATAATATTATAAATATTAGAATATTATCGATAAAGTTTGATCAATTTTACTTTGTCAATGTGATAAGCGCATATTCTATCTATTATTGCACGGTAAAAATGCTTGATGCTTAACGCACATACTTTTTTATTCGTATCTCTTACCACTTTTTACACATATTTTTACCTACTAACAGATTTGATCTTTATTCCTATTATATGAGCATGTTGAAAATGAAAATGAAATTTTGTTTAAATCTAAAATGTATATATATATTGCATATATTTTTATTTGTTGTTTGAGTTTATTTAAGGCATAAATATAGTTTAAATGAATTATATCTATTACAAAAAAAAAATCAATCATCTAGTCTAAAATCTAATAATTAGACAAATTCTGTGATTAAGCATGAAATGAAATAATTGTTGTTGTGTTATATTGTAATATCTATTGAATAATTAATGCAAAAATCTTTTTTCAATAATTTATATTCTGTTCGATTAACAAACAGGACCATTATTTTTCTTTCATATCCCCCTTCTTCTCTTTCTTTGCATTATTTTAATATATATATATATATGCCGAATAGATCGCTTAATAATCGAAAATATTTTTATGTATAATTATGTGTTATGTATAGTTTATTTGTGGAATAAAGAAAGAAAAAAAAGCAATAATATTATCAATGTATCTTTTTTTTATTGTTTTACTTTAAACCCATTTCTGTATCAACAACCACATGCGAATGTTAATATACACGTAATTATTTGATTAAAATATTATTTTAATATGTATTTTCAGGTATCGAATGATTACATTTTCATTCTCAATATTTTGGATGAATTGAAAATTATAGAATATCATTTTGTACAGAACATTGAATGTTAAAAAATAAAATATAGATGAAAACAAAATATGGATGAAAATGTAAATGCCATTTTTTTTATTAAAGTAAAAGATGACAAAAATAGGCGGCAATATTATTTTGTGCTTCGAGTAATTTAGAGATTATTTTTGGTGTTCTTGATATTACATTGATTTTTAATTCGCTTATATTTATTAAAAAAATAATGAATGAAAAACCCATAAGCTATATATATATACTTTTAAATAAGACGTTTATATAAATAAGTCATATATTCTTTTATTCATGATCTATGGTATTTAATACAATTTCTCATTTTAACTTGTATTTGTCCTTTTACTAGGAAACATCCACAAATGAATGCAATCGATTGAAATCAGAATTAGAAGAGACTACGGAAAAGCTTTCAGCTGCTACATCAGAATTAACATATTTACGATCATCCAATGAAGATATGCGATCAAACAATTCTTCTTTGCATTTAGAAATAAATCTGTTAAAGGAAAGTTTAGAGAATGAGAAACAGATGAGTGCCAAATTACAAGAATGCATAGAAAAAGAAAAAAATGAGAAAGATAGTGCATTACTGAGGAGTGCACAATTTTCTCAAGATATTGAAATAATTAAGCAAGAACAGAGATTACAAGAAGCTGAAAATCACGAATTACAGAATAAAATGGACATTTTGGAAAATAACTATAAAGCTAAAAATGAAGAATTGGAAAAAGTTATAGCAATGTTGAAAAAATCGAAGCAAAAGATAATAGAATTAGAAGAGGTAGAACGTAATAAGGAGAAGATGGAAAAAAACGAAAAAATATTGTTGGATTTGGAAGAGCAAATAAACGAGAAAACAAAGGTAATCTATGGATAGACTTGATAGAGAAATAAATTCGCCTTACGTCTCTAAATATATATTTTATCATTTTTGCAGACGATTAAAGTATTAAAACAACGTTTAACAGATATGAAAAAGACTTTGCAACGGGAATTAAGAGTTCCTTCAGCGTCGTTGGACAACGATGCTGAATCGTCCACTGCTATTTTGAATCCAAGTTCATCCAAAACGGTCACTGCCAAACATGTCAACTTAAAAGACGATGTTAACTTTAAATATTTGAAACACGTACTCATTAAATTTCTCACTAGCAGAGAATATGAGGTAGTATCACTCGTGTATTACTTAATAATCAAAGTTAGATATAGATATACGTATGTTAAGGATAATTGATAACTTTAAATAATATTTTAGGCTCTTCATTTAACAAAGGCAGTCGCAACGTTATTACATTTTTCACCGGAAGAAGAACGTTTACTTCAACAAACATTAGAATGGAAAATGTCATGGTTTGGTACTCGACCTAATTTGGGTTTTGGACAAACTGCCAAAGCTATACCACCCAGCTGATAGCAGTCAACATTCCATTATTATTTCTAAGTATATGGTCTAACTCTAAATAAATAAACACCAAGAATTATTTGAGAATTGACTTAAAAATTAAATAAATCACGGAAAAGTGAATCAAGAAAATATAGTAGTTGTATAAACTTTGTAATATATTCACAGTTTAATAATGTATCTACAGATTGTTTGCTAAAACATAGTGTACAAATGAATAAAGTAGTTAGGAATTATATACCATTAACCTTAATGTCGAATATCAATGTGCATAATATTAAAAAAGAAACTTTGTTATAAGAAAATAAAGAAAAATAATAGCATTTATATCAGTTATTGTAACAAGCTGCATTTCTCATAAAACATATTTATTCTCTGTCGATAAAGCAGAAAGATCTACCAAGGATAACAAAATAACATTCTCTCTTGGCGCTACGATTCTACGAAAATCCAAGTTACAATTTTCATTCTGCAATTTGTATTTTTCCTCTTATACGATTATATAAACTAAAATATTTTTATTTTAATCTGTCAAATAAGACAAATATATAGAATAAATATATATTCTATTATATATTTCTTAAGAAGACTATACGGTTGCACAGTATTTAATCTGTAGCATGATTTTGCGCCTTAGTTGCAATAATATTGTCGTCATTGACAGAAATAAATAGAACAGGAATTACACATCGAAATTCTTGCCATTGTATATTAGAAATATTGAAATGTGCATATACATATTATAAATTTATCGTTTTCCTAATAATGATGCATTCATTAAATTCATATAATTATCGATCGATAAATCGTTAATACATATAATTAATATGAATTAATTCAATTAACTAATTGGTGTATACGTAATCTTATACGATAAAAACATGTAATATATAAAAAAAAATTTCAATCTATCGATTTGTTTTTCTCTGTAAAAATAAAAAATAAAGTAAAGTAAAGTAAAGTAAAGAGTAAAGTAAAGAGTAAAGTAAATTAAAATAAAGTAAAGTAAATATACGAAAATCTCAATCTCTTCTCTATAAGAGATTATGGGTTATTTCAAGACTTCGAGCATATAAAAATAATATCAGCATTGGAAATGTTGGCGGAGGAGAGCCGATGATCGCGTGCAGAAAAGTACGACAATAGCGACAATAGTATATAACGCAGCTATTACGCGATTTTAGGGAGGGGCATAGAGGGGTGATGGGTGGGGAGGGTTTTGGGTGGTAGGACCACGCCCTTGGCGCGCCGTCGGCGTCGGAGTCGGCGTCGAGACGACGGCGCTATCGGACTGGAGCACCAGGCAGGAACGGAGCTCTCTCACTGACGACTGCACGACTGTGAACACGCTCTTATTGTTAACGTTTGCCACTACTACTACTATTACCGACTCAACCTCCCACCCCTCCCACCAGTCCTCTCTCCCACCACTACATTTACTAGTAGAGAACGTAGCCGCCCCGAGGGTTCCCGCGATCCCATGTTAGAAAGAGTTATACGACTGACCGTCAACGGGTTCTCGTCGCCGTCGCCGTCGCCGTCGCCGTCGTCGTCGTCGTCGTCGTCGTCGTCGCCGTTGTCGTCGTCGTCGCGTCGGCCTGCGTCAGTCTGTCATCGACCTCGCACTCGGAAACGTGATCGCCGTCATTATCCTCGCTCGGACTTTTCTTATTCCTCTTATTATTATTATTATTATTATTGTTATTATTAATCCATTTTAATTCGTCCTATATACGAATAAACTCATTTTATTTATTATATCTCTTATTTTCATCTCGCGCTTTTAAAATAATATATATTTTTTTTCTCTATCGTGACGAAGGAAACACTAATAATAAAATAACACAGTATATATATATATATTTATAGAATATTTTCAAGATACTAATCTAATGTTAAATAAATAATCCAAGATAAAATATAGCTTCTTCTCTTTTTTCTTTTTGACATCAACGTCGTTCATCATCGTCGTCATCGTCGTCGTCGTCGTCGTCGTCGTCGAAAAGTCCGCGAGCGTTAAAGATTTAAAAGGATAAAATCAACATTTTAACGTTTTTATCATTCCTTTTTCTTTTTGTTTTATTCTATTCCTATAATTCATCCTTTATCCTAATCAAATGTTATCGTGCATTTGACAAGATTTTCATGTGAATAAAAGGATCAAAATAATTGGCCTTTCGTCTAAGAAGAAGAGACACGCGCGAGGAATATGTCCGCATTTGGCGCCGGTTGAATCTTCGATATATCTACGAGAATCACGGTTATGGTATGTCGATTTTGTACGACATTCTCGTTTGCATTTTCTATCGATCGACTATATGATTCTATCGAATTTTTATTATTCAACAAAAAGAGATTATGTGCATTTTGTCATTTGCAATATAAGGGAATGCATAATACAATCATCTGATAAGTATTTTATTTATCGTTATCTTTGTTTCATTTAATCAATGACAAAAAAGAACAAAAAAAAACCTATTGGTTACCTCGCCTATATTTTAGATAAAAAAATTAAAAAAATATTATTCGCATAAAAGTAGTAATGAACGCGCGTCGGCTGTACCTAACTGTTTGAAAAGAGAGTTTCGACAGAGATGGTATGAGTTTATTTTTATATTTATATTCTTAGCGGAAGACGCTTAACCTTCGGTATGGAATATCCCTGTGTGTAGTCCAACGAATCGAAGAAAAAATATCTCTATCGAAATTTTTATTATCTTGAGAAAAGAAATATGATTTTTATACAAAATTCCACTAATATAGTAATTATTATTTTATATTTCATAATGTCGAATTACATTAAATATTATGCATTTTTTCCCTAGATACAAAATATTGATTAGATTAATGTTCGATCGTATACTTATCCACTTATTTTTCTTGATTTTCATTTAATGTTGCATATGCAATATACAGTCATAATCTTATTGATGCAACTGAACATCGAATGATGTGCCAATAAAAAGGAGTAGTCATTGTATTTAAAGAATAAATTTAAAAAACAAAAATAGATCGATAGAGTACTAAAATGTTTCCTTGATCTTGTGGCGTCTCGCACCAGCGCAGTGCCGACATCTCTTGGCCAACAGCGCGCAGCTGTAGCAGCGCGCGCAGGAAAAGTGCGGACATCTCTCGGCCGCCGGCACTAACATACGCAAGCACCTCGTGACGCGGCTCCGCAGGGGCATCTGATTGGCCTGACCACGCCTTTGATTGGTCAGAGCGGAAGAGTGACCACGGCGACTGTTGCTATCCCCACTTCCGCATGCCTGGATCGCCGTGGCGGTGCACACGCAGGAAAAACCACATCACTTCTGCTTCATCAGTCGAACCGTCCGGTCGCACTTCTCTCATCGCGCTCACTGTGTGCAAACATTATCTTCTGTACGTGACCACGTGGCACACCACGCCGGCAAATAAAATATCGTCCCACGGGATCGAAAACACAATCGGGAATTTCTTTCCTCCACACGGAGTCTCCTAGGCCCATTCCTTTCTCCGCGGCCGTTCCCCGCGTCGGTGTGAACGCGCCTTAACGCGCCTAGTAACCTAGGGAAAGAATATCCCAAAATCTAATTAATTTGAATATCAAGGTTAATAATTCGTTTTCGCGCCTTTCTATGAAACCTATTTAAATGAGGGAGCCACCACCGAGCACCCTCATTTACTTTAATTTATTCTTATTTGTATAAGTATGCATATATATAATATATAATAGATACAATATTAAATCAGTTTTGTTTCTATTTTTGTTATATTTTAAAAATTAATGAATAAAAGCAAATCTCTTAGTCGTGTGTAATTTATATTATAATGTTTAATAATAGTACCACCTTATCATTGACATTTCAAAAATGTCTAATGTACGTTGAAACTTGTATCAATTATTTAAATCATTTGAAAGATTTCTTTGATAAGATCATCAATTCGATTGAATAAAATGATTAATTTTGATCTTTATAGATTTACACTTTGTTGGACTTGCCGTGCGTATCTATCCAAAAATCAAAAGACGATACATTGGAATATACATAAACGGATAATTATAATCTATAAACAAAACAAGTAAGAGTTATTTCAATCAAAATATTATTTTTAATTTCACATATATATTTAAAAATAATTGCTTAATATTATATGTCATTCTTATTGCAGATTTTATCATTTGTTATCAGATTGTTTCTCTAATCTGAAATGAAATATTACAAATATTCTAACATAATGGAGATAACGCGTATATGACATAAGGATTTTTAAAAAGGGTTGTAACAATTAGTTATTCAAGGATGGATCTTTGGAAAGAATAATTTGATCGAATTACGGATAGTTTGACATATACCATTTGTATATCGTTTATCGGCTAAATTGAATTGTTCTCAGGTAATTTTGATTCTAAAATTTTACACGAGAATAATATTTGAAATGTTTTACATATTTACAAGTGTATTGTATAAAGTAATATTATTGTTTCAGAAAATGTCATCCTTAAGAACGCAATCAACTGGTGGTGGAGGTAGAGGTGGTAGCGGTGTTTTAGGCTTGAGCAGTATTTGCTCCGATCGTACAGGAGCCACTTCAATTGCTAGCGGTTCTCATTCTCATTCCCATACGCACAGGAAACATCATCATCACAGTAGAAGTAGAAGTGCTCCTAGAGCACCGGAGAAGCCACCTAGAAAACGTCATTTAAATCCTGGACATAGCTTGGTTTCCATACCAAGTCAAATTAAATTATCCATGTTAAACAGTGGCCTCATTTCTTTTGGTAAGTTCAAATATTTAAGTTCAAATGTGATACAAACAAATGATTCGAATGTCATAACATTGCTTTGATGCATTTAGCAACGGAGGAACTTAGTAGCAGTATGAGCACTACGTTGCCTACAGCACCAACCGAACTTTCGCAATTTCCAAAGCTTTGCGAGCTTCGGAGAAAATTTCCAGTTCTATATCGAGTAGAATTTCAAGTAAGAAATTATATTTTCATTAAAGAACATATTAATTTTCTTTCTTTTCATTGTTCTTTTTTTTCATTTTAGACAGCAGCAAAGGTAGAATCGCATTCGTGTAGACACGCTACAAAACCAGTGAATAAAGAAAAGAATCAAAACCAGAAATGTATTCCATGTAAGTATTAATGGTATAAATTATAATAGCATTGTATCGTCAAAAAACAAAAAAAAACAAATTGTTCTTCATTATTTAATCCAAAGCGATAGTTAGTGGTTATTGTCAATGTTGAAATGTTTTGTTTCAACGAAATAACTAATTCTGTTTGGTTTAATATTGTGTGATATTTTGAGCTTCGATTACGTATAAATTTCTGTCATGACATTTAAGCAAACATTGCATTTTAATACAGGAACGTTTTTTAATGCTTTGAAATATGCGCTTTTGTACTTTAGGAAAATATTATTTATAAGCTTATTTTATGCGAGTGGTGATTGACGTGTTTAAACTTATAAAACATTAGACTGTACTAGGACTCTTCGTGGGATCCAGATTTGAGGATATTCGGATTCTTTGACATCCAGATAAATACATGACACAACAGCTCGAATCCGGATACCGAATATTCGAATCCGGATCCTACACTGAATTAAGATCCCGTTATATGGATCTAACTCCTACCATAGTACCTGCCAATGAAGATGCACCAGCTACAAACGGTTAGTGCTATCACTAACTGTTGCCGGTAAGTTAGTATACTTTTAATAAATGTTTTATGACTATTCGTTGCAGTTTGTGATGCGTAGATATTGATGTGTTACAAATTATTGCATATGATCTAATTTATTCCAATTTTTATAATGAATGCTAATTGTTATAATGAATCCTACATGAAACATAAACGAGAGCAAAAATAATTATCTTCATTTTTTTCATTATATTTATTTGCCTTTAATTTTTTGCATACATATTCAAAAACAATACCATAATAACATATCATTACAAATTTATCTTTTATCTAGATTTATTCTGCATTATCCTTTTTTTTTTTTTTTAACAATTGTTATTGTTTGCAGATGACTATAACAGAGTGGTTTTGGATACGATAGAGGGTGAAACAGATTCCGATTATGTTAATGCATCTTATGTAGATGTAAGTATGTTAATGTTTTGTTATCTTCATACATTACATTTGAATAATATTATTTGGCAATTTTAATGTTTATCTTCTTTTCATATTATAGAGTATCTTGAAACCAAATGCATATATTGTAACTCAAGGTCCTATGGAAAATACTGTAACAGAATTTTGGCGAATGGTTTGGCAAGAGAAAGCATCTTGCATTGTTATGCTTACGAAAACATTTGACTTCATACGAGTAAGTTATCGAAAGTACTTTTGAAATTTATTGTATCATCATTTGTACACCATTTCGTAGGTCATGTGTGTCCAGTACTGGCCAGCAAGTAAAGACAAGGATGAAGAATATGGAGGTATTGGAGTTTCTATATTACAAGAAGAACAATTAGCTAATTTTCATATACGTACAATAAAACTTTATAAAAAAGATGAAAGCGAGGTAATTATAGCGGATGAAATAGAAATAACGTTGAAATTAAAACTTCGCTCTTGATATATTTAATATTAATATTTATAGGAAATATCTGAAGAGAGAACATTGCTACAATTTCATTATACCGAATGGCACTCTCACACTTGTCCTTTTGGTAACGCAGTATTAGAATTTCGTCGTCGTGTTAGAGCAGTTGTTGGATCTACTATAAAAAATGAATCAGGTCCTATGGTAGTTCATTGCAAGTAAGTCTTTGCACTCTCATTTTGTCCACGCATTACGCATAAATTATTGAGTAATTTTTATTTTATTTTATATATTATATTTTCTTATATTCTTTGTGATTATTTTCTCTTCGCAATTAAAGTGATGGTGGTGGTCGATCAGGAGTGTATCTTGCAATAGATGCTAATATGGAGTTAGCTGAAGAAGAAGATGCCTTTGATGTATTTGGATATTTAAAAAAGTTGAGACAAAGTAGAAGAGGAATGATAGAAAATTTGGTACGTTAGTGCATTGATTTGATGAAAATTATTCTAAACATCGTAAAGAGTAGTAATATATATATATATATATACTTATGAAATATATTATTCCAGGAACAGTACAAATTTGTATACGATACTTTGGAAGAATTTGTAATATGCGGTACTTCGTGGTTTCCAGTTTCGGAATTATCGCTACGTTTGAAACAAAAAAGTATCAAAAATCCTATAACTAAAATGAATGAATATCTACGAGAGTATCAACAGATATGTAAGCAAACGCCACGATTTACAATTGGAGATTGTGCAGGAGGACATAGGGCTGATAATCGTGAAAAGAATAGAGATGTTTTGGTCGTACCGCGTAAGTTTGAATAAAATTTGAAGAAAAAATCAATAGGAAACAATGTAAGCGTATTTTATATTTCATATATAGATTTATATTTCAAATGATTATTATTTCCTTTACTTAGCTGATAACTTTCGACCGTACCTTACTAGTTTCCAAGGGAACAATTTCACAGATTATATAAATGCTGTCTTTGTGGACGTAAGAATTTAAAATAGACTTTTTGAAATCTATTATATCCACATTATTTGTTAAATTGTTTATAATTAATGATTATTCTAACTTATGTAGGGCTACACAAAACCAAGAGAATACATTGTTACCGAGTGGCCTCTTAGAAACACATGTGGCGAATTTTGGTCTTTAGTTTACGATTATGAATGTGCAGCAGTTGTTGTATTATGCGTACCACCACAGGGTTCTACAAATTTTCCAAGTTTTTGGCCAGAAGGAAGGCATTCAAAAAAATATGGTCCTGTATTTACTATTGATCATATTAGTCATAATCATTATACAAATATTAAAACTTGGGTAAGTAAGATCAAAATCGTATTCATACGTTTATTCCTTCGTTATGTGTTAAAATATATTTCTATAACATACGTTTCTACACAGGTATTTAGAATAAATAAAAAAATCATTTCATTACCCGAGTTAATGGCAGGAGTGAAAGCACCTCCAAAAACAGTTCAGTTATTTCAATTAACGTGTTGGCCTATGGGTCATAGAGTGCCAACATCTACGAATAGCTTAGTAGAACTAATGAATATGGTTGAACGGTGGAGACAAAGAACGGATTATGGTCCAGTAGCAGTGGTGTCTCCTGATGGAAGAAGTCGTTGTGGGGTCTATTGTGCCGCAAATGCATGTATAGAACAAGTAATACAACATGGTGAAGTAGATATATTTCAAGCTGTGAAAACGGTGCGCAGACATCGGCCTCAACTAATAGAAAATATGGTTGGCATTTTGTAAGATAAAGCAACAACAACAAGAAGGACAACGATAAAACCATTTAATCTTGTATGATCTTCTCTTTTGTTTTTAGACAGAGTATAAGTATTGCTACGACTTAGTTCTACATTATGTGCTGCATTACTTGAATAAAGATATGAACGAAAAAAAGTGAGAAAGCGAGTTGGGGGACGAGCTGTGGTTCATAGAATTTGGTCGTGGTGCGGCGCTACCATTAACGCCAGAAGAAGCTTCAACGGACGGCGAACCAACTTTACCCTGTGCTCAAGGACGTATCGTTTATGAGACTACAAAAGTGGTATCGCCAGAACTGTCTTACGGTTCCACATTTTACACAACGTCAAGTAATAAAGAAGCAAAGGTCGCAGAAACTCCTGAAGAAAAGAAATTAGCATGGAATAAAGCTTTATCGAAATCAATTGAAGATTTTGCAAATATCGTTAACGAAAATCTAGCAAAGGATAGGATCAATGTGTCAGGATGTGCTGTTAGACCAAAAAACCTTGATATCACTCCATGGTACCATGAGAACTTCTCTATGACAAATAGCTCGTCAGAATGTATGATTCGTCCATATAGAAACTTGGACTCTTCGAGTCCGTGCGTTACTAAAGAATTAAAATTTGAGTTTATTTCAAAAAAGGATAATAGTGTCGAAAGAGAAACTCCGCAAATAATAAAAGCAATCGGTATTACGCCTAGAAAGGCTTACATGGATTTAGTTGATGCAATCGCATTGTTAGATGAGACTTGTCCAAATCAAGAATTTAATCCGTCCGATACAATAAAAGCAACAACAGAGGCTTCTTTGATGCCACATACAGAATGTAAAAAGGTGAAATCAAAAAATCATGGTCACGATCGACTCAATCAACATTCATTTAAGAAAAATCGTTTACAGGATAAGAATAAAAATCGACCATTAATGAAGAAAATTGGAAAGTCGAAAACCGAGGAAATACCATTTCTAATCAAATTGTCACCAAATCTTGGTACCATTCGTAAGCCTTGTTTCCAGAGAACTAGGACAAGAAAAGTTATCGAACAACAAACTATAAAATCAAATAAAATCAGTTGTTTTAAAAAATTGATCTTTGATTCGATGGATGTTAGAAATAAATCTCTAGTTAATTTAAAAGGTGTCGACGAAACAGCAACAGTAACAACAGCAGCAACAACAACAACAACAATAACAGCAGCAGCAACAACAGCAACAACAACAGATATTCAAACTAGAACTGAACAAAATAAACATCAGCTAAAAAAACAATTGAAAAAATTGAAAAAAAGTAAAACACTAGAATTACCTATTAGAAGATATTCCGATATAGGCCAAAGTTCTCCTGTGACAATACATTCCTTTGAAACGGATGATTTAGATAGAGCTTTCTCTCAAAAGTTGCCTCTCCGAGGTTATCTAAGAGCTTCGTTAGATAGCATAATCGATACCGGATCTTGTTGTTCGTCGTTAGTGGAAGATACAATAAGGAATAATTCAAAAGTTAGTCATATGCAACAACGATGCAATAGTATAGATACGTTAATAAAAGAGAAAATAACCATAAACGAAGAAAGTGTTTCTTCTAGTAAATACGTGTTCTCAGTAGGTTCTTCACTCACAGAATTAGATAGATGGACTAGCTTTTCTAAGAAACAACGTGAAATATTAGACAAGAGGAAATGTAAGACTCATTCGACGATTGAGTGTATTTGTAAAAGTTTGAAAATAGTTGGAAGTACGCCAAATTTAAAAGCGAGTAATAATATTAATTATTTAAAAGAAGAAGCGTCTAACTCACAATTAATAAATACATCGAGCAATTTAAAAGAACAGTGTCAAGAAATAAGTACATTGAACAAAGAGAAAAGGAGTAATTATTTAGAGGATAATAAAATAATTCAAAATACAAGCTCAAAGTGTCGGAAATGGCAAATTTTCTTTGAACCTTTGCAAGACACAGTGGATATGTTTAACGAATTACGAAAAGTAAGCAGTTTACTGAATATACCTTCTTGGGAGAAATTTTCTAAAGTAGACAAAACGTTTGTTCAAATACCGAAACAGATTTTTTTAAATAAAAAAGATACGATGAGACGCGAAACAAGCACAAATCTAAACACAAGTCTAAATGAAAGGAAAAAACATATTTCAACATTTTCCAAAGAAAAACAGTTAATAGATTCTAAAGCAATTTCTTTAACGACTACAAAGGATTTAACTTCTCAGACTGAAGTAGATTCTAAATGTTATTTATCGGATATTTTTAATGTACCTTTACAGAAGAGAAATGTTAAAGAACGAAAAGAGACGGGTATGAAAATAAAAGAAGCAACTAAGACTAAACACAATCATTGTCTTGAAATAAAGCTTGCTAATCCTATGTTTCCGAAAGAAAGTAGCTCTCAGAAAATGGTACAAATTCAGGGACGGACCAATGATTTTTATGAGATTGTATCATCTAAAACAGTGCCGAATTGCGCTGAAAAACAATTGAGAAAAGTTTCTGCCGAAGAAGATACAAAATTAGAGAACTTTACCCTTGGTTCTAAGGTTGACTACCATTCAGTTATTGAGCAAAAGCGGACCAAATGCTTTCCTTTATAATGCATGTATGTAGATCTATTTGTAGATAATGTTCTATAATAAAAACACATTGTGTTTGCATTCAAAATGTACAATGCCAGGGACAGGAGCCTTACGTATATAGAGTGAATCATGTTTTACTTAAACTGTTTCACTACTTTTTAGCTATACTAAGGGTAAACTATTTAACACTTATTTCTAATGTTGTACAGGAGAAAACGGACATTCGATACGGATTGTATTATTGGTTTCTACAATAAACATTATGCTGCATTCATAAAATTGCATAGGATTACGTACTTTTTGATCGAGCCTTTGATAACAATTGACACGAGTATAAAGAAAAGAACGATCCCTTGAACACTGTCAACAATGAAAGTGGTACAATATTAAAATCTATACAAAAAACTTATGTCTGATATATATATATAGATATATATACTTGTATTGTTTAGTCAACTATTCTTCAGGTGCCTTGCCTTGTATGTATATATATATATATATATCTCTCTTTTTAATAATAAAATCATTTTTTCATTTCTTTTCAAAACTATATATAAGTCTAGTTAATTATTTAGAATAACAATTAGCTTTTCGCGTGTCACTTTCATCAAGGCAAGGATTTGGATCATTTTTCTATAATGCTTATACACAAAGTCGGAAACATATTTCTAAGATGTTGGTCTAAATTATACAGTTTTTCTTTTGTTATTGGAACAAAAGCCAAAGAGACCAACGAAATATTGAACAATCCAAATTTGACAAGATTATTAACAGTTAAAAAAAGGAAATTAGGACTTTAATAAGATATGTTTATAGAATGTAGCTTAAGTGTTTATAAAATTGTTAGAAAAATATTATTGTAATAGAAATGAAATATTGTTCTGTAAATATATCGATGGAAAGTAAATAAGATCATTGTTGATAGAAATAACATGTGTCGATATGAATACTCGTATAAAGAAGATATTATTAGTGTTTTCAATATTTTTTTCTTTTCTTTTTCTTGTTTCACTTAATTGTTGGTTAACCTAAAATAGGAGAAACGCACCTGCGCCGCTTCGAGCACAAGCGAGATAGTGACGTGAGATTTTTCCCACGCATGCGCACTATCTAATCCTCAGTAATGTATATACTTCACTCAAATATGGGGAATCATTAGAGCCCCGTGACAATTGAAATACCGTAGAGTAGGAAGAGCTCCTTACGCGTACCTTCTGTTGCTCATAAATACATCCATGGAAACAATCGCCGTCGAGCTATAACGTCAGCATGCGCATGCGCACGAAGGCTCCCACGTGGGAGAAAATCCTGCCTCTTGGCATTACATTGGGACACACTGGTATATGCACAAGGTATAAGAGTATAGTTATATACTAGTTATTTTTATATTGATAATCAGGGTCGCAACAAGTCAAGTTTAAAAAATACTTTGCATTTAAAGAACAACATTTAAAAAATTCTACACAGGATCGTGTATATTTTTATATTTAAATGTCAATTCTATCAAATGTAGTATAATATTTATTCTTGCTGCTATTTTGAGAAAAATGTCACGAAAATAACTATCAATTAAATAATCATGTGATATTACGAAAGAAATAAAAATACCAATAATAATAATAAATATATATATATATATATATACTATTAAGAATAGATCGAAACTTCAGCAGTTTTTCCTAAATCCTATTGTATAAAAAAAATAAAGACAGAGAAAGAAAGAAAGAGATAAGAAAATAATAATAATAATAATAATGAAGAATTGGAAGAAAAAGAAATACTAATAGGAAAATATAACTAGAATAATCTAGAAGAAACTAAAGTTCAGACCAATGGTGTGACGGCGTAAGGAAGCACAGCAGGTTGGTGAGGGGTGTGAAGAATTGTGCGACGGTCCTGACACTGCTCTCGGCTCGCAGTTGTATTCAGGTAGTAGCCGTCTTTTAAGTCGGAGCATTTTTTTCACCAATAGAACACGTTGCAAAGGCAAGACAGGAACGATATAATACGCTAGATAAAGCAAGGAAGATAGCGAATTCTATCTTGACGTTCTTTAAACGTTGAGTATTGCGAAGAGGTTTTATCCTCTAAAGAAAAATACGAAAGAAAGACAGAGAAGAAAAGAAAAAGGAGACTTCATTCGATCTGTAACGAAGACATTTCTTTGACTCGTAGCGAATCCAAATTCCCTGAATTTTGTCAAGAAAAGAGTTATCTGGAAGAAGAGAAGAAGAGAAAAAGAAGAAGAAAAAAAGAGAACAGGAGTCACGGTGCGTTAAGTGCCAACTACAACGCCCTGATCGGATACGAGCTAGGAGTGCTCGTTCATAATAAGAAATAAGGAGTCGAGAAAGCGGAGAACGACATCATTGCTTACGTTGTAGTCGAGGAAGAAGGAAGGGATTTAAATTTCGTAGGAGACATTGCAACGAAACTGGTGTCCCCTTCGTTAGGGCAATCCATCTGTCTCGACGCTCAACGTCGTTACCACTCATATTTTCACGCTAGAAAGCGGCCGTCCAGCAGGGCGATACCATTTTATATGACTTTTCTTCGACGACAAGGTAAGAATTMTTTTATTTTATTATTTATTTCCTTATTTCTTTATTTATTAATATTTTATTCATAACGAGCCGTACGGGAAACGCACGCATACAAATATACACATAACACATATATGTAAGCACACACATACTCAGCACACGCTCCTTATCGAGTCTTCTCTCCCCTTTATCCCCCACTGCCCACCTACTCTTTTTCTTTTTATGTCTGTCTCTCTCTTTCTCTCTTTCCATCCTTGTCGAATGCTAATTTTAGCGATCAGCCATTTTGGAGACGAGAACGTGCACCGATTTGCGAGGCTCTTGCCTTTACGCAAAAATCGATGTCGCTTTTCTTGCTCTTTAGCTTTTTAAAAGTACTCTTCTCTCCCTCTCTCTCTCTCCCCCTCTCTTTGTCTCTATTTCCTTCACTATTTCATCATCGTTCATTTTCGTGCTCTATTTCCTTCTATCTCTTTTTCTAACACGCGCTAGTTAATTGCTTCCTTCTCCTGCCATTCTTCTTTCTCCCCTTTTTCTTCTTAAGCTACCAATTTCTTCTCCTTTTTTCATACATAATTGTTATAAGTAAATGTTTATATAGACCAACCAAAAATTATTATTAATATGACATGTCTGACTTCGATGTTCTATTTAATATTTAAAAAATTGTTCTGTAAATAGGTATTTTTAGTAGAAAATAATCTTGCCTATTCGTGATTTCATATTCACCCACGTATATCATTTGATTCGATAAAAAAAGTTGGAAAGTATAGATTTGTAAATATCGATTGTATATAATCGAAAATGTACAGGACAATTATTATCAAACGTGATATGATTTAACGACGAGAGGAAGATGTTGAATCACGAACACAGCCATCACAGTTAGCCAGTTTGTGTTATGTGACAGGAGGAATTGCTTCGTCACTCTTACATTAGTCGGGTAAATAATGAAAATAAAATGCATTATGTGAACGATGCTTATCATTAATAGGGGGAGGAAGGAATATTAAAAATGCAACTCTATTAACATTTTCCGAAAGGTTTAGAAAGCACGATATTTCATTTTCGCTGTTTCCATCGATGCATGATTTATTTCATATATTTTCTCATTTTAATCTTTCGTTTGTTTATTGTCTTAAGAAACAAAAATAATTGTTAATTAATTCTAGAATTTTTGTCATGTTATTGTTGATGCTAAACTATCGGAAAATAAATAGGTGACTCTTTTAAATGTAATTTCAATTAAAATTCGTAAATAAAAGGAACGTCCAAGAGAAATATTGTAGATGTATTTATAATACATTTATTATCGTTGATTCGAGACTTAGAATAATCTCAGTTTTTGATAAATTCCTTAATTTGTAGAAAATTATCAATATGTATCGATATATATATATATATATATATATATATATATATATATACAAGAATATATTAAACGTATTAGAAATATTCAGTTCATTCTTGTCTCCACTAACACTTGTTTTATAATCTTTCTTATTAATATAATCCGGATTTAATGTAATACCTTTCGTAACTTATTTTGACACGACGTTCCAACTAAATCAGGATCTTCGAATACGGTAGAATTTGATATCTTGTATGTTGTATATTCGTTTACTATTACTGATAATTTATTATTACAAAGTTGTACAGAAATATGATAACAGTTAGAATTGGAAAGTTTGGACAGGCAAACCCTTCTCGTTAGATCATTCCTATGCAAATATATATTTAAATACATTAGCTGAGGATCCATATACGTGCATATATGCTTCTAGTTATAGAAAGAAACTAGAATTATGCATATGAGTAATGAAACTTATTTCTGGAACTGTGCTTATGCTATAATAACGTCTATACCAATGAACGAAGAGAATGACTTTCACAAAATATCCCATTTTAATCAATCTTATATAAATATAAATATCGTTCTAAATTTAAATTTAAATTCAAATTGTTAGATTTCCTATTATCTGTCAGTCATTCCACTTCTCTATTAAATTTTCAAGATTCTTTTTTTTCAAAGTAAAAATTCGCGATTATACTTTATAGAATAATCATCATCTGGAACACTCATAAACATTTAACCTAATAATTTTAATAATATTGATAATCGATTCAAATATTTGTATGTAAAAACATATATATCTAATCTTGAAAAGAACATTATCAAGTATAACAATCAAAATGATTAAACGATGAATTGTTTTTCATTAGGAGTATAGTCCCTTCTCGAGAGGGGAAATCTCGACATTAAATCTTGCTAACTTAATCGAACCATGTAACGTCCCTGATAAGAGAAAATATTACCAACTAGTTGGCAAAATAATTGTGTACGTAAGCTTTCACTTCGTGATTCCATTTGTTTTCTTTCTTTCTTTCTTGTCTTTTTTTCTATTTTTTGTGTTCAGTTCCTTTATTCTTTAATCATTTCATTATCTTTAACTTAAGATGGCCTGTTTTGACCCTTAAGTATGCGCAGAGAGTTGATAGTGATGCAAAATAATACTGTTCGATCGATAAAGACAGTGGTTCTCAAACAAGATTTCATGGAAGAAACTTTAGAAAGAGGAAGAAAGAGTAATAAATTCCTATTATCTCGAACTAATTTCGTTAAAGATTAATACCAATGAGAACAATTTTGTTAGCGGCAGGAAAACGAATGTCATTCTTACTTAAAAACATTCTTTCAAGAGTATACGATTCATTTTCTTATCTATGTATGTATAT